AATTTCAAATCTCATAGATCCTCAATTTATATTACACTGGAGTACTCATATACATGTAAATGTTGGTATTTCAACAACTTCACATCAAAAAAAATTACTGACAATAAAAATTTAAGTAAGCAGAAATATTTACACATTTGAGTCCATTTAAAATATTTCCTTGAGCCAAAATTACTGTAGAATAAAACAGAAGAAAGAAAAAAACTGAAATGTAGATACAATTACACATAATTATAAAGAATGAAGGAAACATGCAGGATTTCTAAACTATGGGGACTTGTTTTTCAAAAAATTCTACATTGGATTTTCTCCTTTTATGATATTATAACTTTAAACAAACTCCAGACTCCTACCATTAAAATCCATTAATCTTTTAACATGAATGACTAATAAAAATGCTGATATAAATTAGATGGTATGATTCAAGTAAATGATCAGTTTTAAATATACATAGTGTTATTTATATTGTTTAAATGGAGTAATACAATAACATACTAGTCTAAAAGAAAAAAAATCTTGTGCAAGACGGTGGCATTTTGAGCTCATGCACCTTTGGCAATCTTAATATAGTAAAGAAAACATCTATTTTAACCATGTAATCTATATCCTACGAAAATTGACATTTCATCTCAACAGATCTGAAAGAGATATTCTATTCTGATTGAAAGGAAGCATTTCCTTAAGCTATCATATAGCTTAGATATAATACTTTGTTTATGTTTATCCTGGAACTTAAAACATGTTGCCTGTAGAAACATTTAAATCAATATTACAGCAGTTTCTTCATACTTAAGTATCATGATTGAAATGAATCGTCACTTTAGTTTGAGCTTACTTTCGTATAATATTGATAATTCGGAGCAGGGTTTGTAAGGAAAAAGTACCTTTAAAATGAAAATACTTGAATTAAATATATTTATATAATATATTTACTGATTAAATATTTCTCAAACCTCTACTGAGAAGCTAGCAGTATGCCTTAGATATTAGTCGTGACTCAGCTTATTGTTATATCTTTAGTAAAGTTACTTAGAAACTATTTCATTGTGACAGTTTTGTTTAGACTATGTTAAAGAATATCCACCTGACAAAGTGACCCCTGTGTCTGTGAAACTGAGGGTATTTCTAAACAAATCTTTACTTTATGGATGGTTATATTTGTTCTGAACCTCTTGATTTCAGGGCAAGACCATTTCTGAGATGACATATTTCATTACATATGTTTACCCGTAATAGTTTCACCTGCACAACACTATGCTCCTTCACCAACTTCTATCACATTTGTAAAGGGTGATGTTTTTGCATATTCAATGCTATATGTACTGATGACAAAAAAAAAAGATGTTGGATAATACTAATCGTAAATAAAAAAATATTAACAGTGCCAAATCTTTTTTACATCAAGTGTAAAATTAGGTGTCTTACTTAGTGCACAAAAATATACAATATAAAAACAACATAGTTACAACAACAGATAATTAGATGTTATACAGCAAAATCACATCAAATCTTGACAATTGTTCAACTTAGGATGTTACGTTCAAGATGTATATCACAATAGATACATGTATATATAATACTAAAAATATTCCCATCTGTATATCACCCCTGATTTCTCCACAAGTGTCTTTCATAAACAGATACAAATGTGTATAAGCATGTAACAAATAAAACAGCTGTTAACAATTGCACTTGACCTTTAATATTGAAACAAAGTTAGCAACTTTACCCCATAAAACTGGATACTTTATACATTAAAACAATTGATGGCAAAAGTAAAACACAAAGATAAACTGTTTCAAAAGAAACTATGCAATGTCATTCACAGTATATATATACACATGATTAAAATTTGGATGGCTTCTACACCCTTCAAAAATTGCACAGGGTTAAAAAGAACGTTTTTCTTTATTGTTCTTCATTAAAGTATCACATATTCTTTAGCTTGGCTGGGATTCTGATGACATCAGTATGGGTGTTTTATATTGTATGTAACAAACATGATGGAAGCATGCATTGACTAGACATTTTAACACATTTACAACAGCACTATGATCTCATAGCATAGGCATATAAATAGATATAATTATATATATAAGGTTTTTAGTTTAACAATATCAAGAAAATCCCTCTGTCTAATCTATGAAATGGATTATCAGATACAAACAAGAAACCCTCACACTGATTCCATCTTCTTCGGTCTAAGTCCTGTCAAAATATTTTGTCCTGTCATTCACAAAAATTCCATAAATTAAGCATTTACACTGAATTATTTTTATATAAGCTTTGATCCTGTGTAGCATTTACTAGTACATGTACTTCAAATTAAAAAAAAAAAGACTTAGTTAACATTATATTGAGGGGCCTCCATACTCTCAAGAATATAAAACAAAAAGTTATTTTGTTGTCCTGTAACCAGTGCTTCAATCACCAATTTATATAACAATGTACCACTCATACCAGTAAAGGGTCTCTGTACAAAAACAGAAGCATGGACATCCATAAAAAATATCAGAACTTGAACAAAAAGCACGGCAAATTTAAATCATTTATAACTTTGCTATGTTTTAAATAATACAACTTATATACAAGTTTAAAAGAGGGCCAATACAAACAAATATATACTGTTGTAAACTCTGAAGATCTCATTGGGTAACAAGTTCTAATAATATATCAAAATAGGCAACATAAAAAATAATAAAACCACCTGAAAGACTTCCATAACTGAAAACAATATTTTGGTAACTTCACTTCAATGGACTAACCCTCTTTTTTGCTGTTTTTTTTTTTAAATAACTTTCAATGATTATATCATTTTGTTAGTTTGCTCTTCTCTTAACTCATATCATGTTATCTTGCCACCTGTTTTGTTCGCCTGGCCTGGTTCTTCCGTTACACCTGTTGATCTGAGAGGAGGGTGCTCATGTAAGCTCTCTCAGCGTCTGCTGAAATGTCAAACACAGCCAGGGGGAGCTCATCATCCTCTATTGGAGTCCACTCCCACTTCAGATTCTCTGACACCTGGAAAAGAAAAATCGTGTTTATGAAACAATTTCCAATGGCCAAGTCACCAATCTCCCCCCTGTCGTCAGACAATATAGTTCAGATCCTCCCATTTGTTCACCGAATTTAAAAATTAACTGCTCTTTATCTTCATTTTCAGTTCTACAATAAAAATATCTCTCCTTTATAAATTCAAATCATGAAGTAGCTAGTGCGCTTAACTAATGATACAGTGATAATTCCTTTAGTTTTTCACAGCTAAATCTAAATACCTTTTGAGGGAAATCTTGAGGATAGCAGCCGTGACTGACCCAGGCTATGTGGTCCTCCTCCTCCACGGTACAGATACAGCAGTGGGGAACACTGTAGGTCCTCAGATTGTGTCCCCTCAGTCTGGCAATGGCTATCACATCATCATCTGAGATTTCATAACCTACAATTGTAACTAACATCTGTAAACTTCATCAACAAGTTTATCCTCTGATTCAAAAGAAAAAACCTAGTAAATTGATTTAGAAGTTTTGTGATTCAGATTGCCTAGTTCTTCTTCAGTTGCCTTATTTACCAATCAGTGAGAAGTCCTGCAGCTTTGTACATCTCCATGCTAGCATCACAAAGGGGTCCTCCTCTGTATGACTGAAGTAGGGCACGGGGTAACCATCCATCAGGCCATCTAAAATGTACACTACCCGCAGGCTGTTCCTAAACAACAAACAAAGAAAGGTCTGTTACTCTGACAATTTTTATCATCTATATAATAGTCAATTAAAAAATTTCAGCTCATTTTCTCATCAGCTTTCAAAATAAAAGAATATTACCTATAGTGTGTGGACATATAATTAATTGCTGCAGTGTTCAAGTTGTTGCAGAAGAACTGTCTGAAGTGAGTTAGGGGCAGGTTTGGCTGCAGGATATCGAGCAGCGACTCAACTCCATCAAAGGAATGTACCAAGTTGATGGTCACAGCCAGAGATGGGTTGTGGGCTGTTATCATTTGCCAAGATGCATTGGAGATTTTCTCATGAGTGCTCTCTATACCATGGATATGTATGATCAGTTTTTCCAACTTTGCACGACTTCTGTCAACGAAAGACTCGAGGACACTATTTGTAAGGTAGTCATAATCTATACTGAGGTGACTCAGCTGGTGGAATGGTCGAAGATCATCGGGAGTCAACCATATGATTCCATAGTTCTCACTGTCTTCTTTGACACTGGCCAGGAATAGATGTTTCAGGGACTGTGAGTGGTGTTTAGATAACAACTGCAAAAGATGATTGGAATGTTCCAAGAGCTCCTCGACACAACCCAGAGAGAAATGTTTCAGTCTTCTACTTGTCTGGATGATGCTTTCTAAACCATTTAAAAACCTAGTAAAAAGCAGAAACATTTGAAAGATTTTTCAGAAAAAAACTTTTATGGCAGAAATATTAGGTCTAAAAATCTTTAAAAATACTATAATTATGAAATAAAGGAAGCTTTGTTAACATAACTTTGTAAGAAAAATTGTGATAAATTCACCCATTTGCCCAGTAAGTCAACCTTAAACAGGTTGGGACCAATCGCCCAAGTGGGATATAATAGCCCGTTTGGGATATAATATCCCAAATGGGTTATAAATTAACAGTGCAAAAATTGAATTTTTTTATTTTGGCTAAAAATATCATAAATCCGCATCAGGACATGTAAAAAGGAATAACTTTTGGTTGACAAGTTTTCCTGTTTGCCCATTGTTTAGGAGATTGATCCCTCGGAAGTTCCTTAACTTCTTGGGGATCAATCTTACAAACGGTACGGTTGCACAAAAACTTGCTTACCAAAAGTTATTCCTTTTTAAGTGTTTTGATGCGGATTTATGATATTTCTTGCTAAAATCAAAATTTTCAATTTTTGCACTGTAAATTTATAGCCCATTTGGGATATTATATCCTAAACAGGCTATTATATCCCATTTGGGCGATTGGTCCCAACCTGTTAAATTGGTTGAATAATGAAGGAATTTGGGTTTGTATGTATACCTCCAATACTGCAATTAACGACATATGGGAAAAAACTTTTGATAGAATCATGTCCACCAAAAAAAAAAACTAACAATAGGACCAGCATAGTTTGAAGTAGCTTATTACAACTTGATTAAGCCATTTTTCACAATGATACCCTTAAATTAAAAATAAAGAACTGTCTAATACAGCATATACTGTACTGTACATTAATATTAATTCGTAAGTTTTGCTTAAACCCATGGTAGTATTCATTTACGAAAAGATACTGTTTTTCATTAATTTTACGCCTATTATGTGTTCAAGCAAATTCGAGTTACGAGGAAATGTTTACAAACAAATAGCTGTAAAACGATTGGTTTATTTTCTACCAGCTGACTTGGCAAATACGTCAACTTCGCAGTTGTTTTTATTTACCTCTGTACGAAATTCGTGTCTGGCCATTCTATGTGACAACTTGAAGGAAATAGAGCAAAATGTTGTAGATTCTTGTTTGATCCCAAGATAGAAATGATTCTTGAGCATTCCCTCACTTCAGTACAGCTGTGTGCATTAAATTTAATCACTGCTTCTCTTACAAAACGACCACATCTGTCTGCTAAAAATCTCGACCTATGCCGCTTCGAAAATCCAAGTTGAAACTTTATGTTGTTCCATAAAGATGGATGGAAAAGACAGTTCCTCCATCTCTTGTTAACAGAAGACGCTTTTAAACGGTCTTCATGCGAAAGGTACGACAAAATGTCCACAATTAGTACGCTAGGCAACGAGCCCCACTTCGGACCCGCTGCCATCTTCGTTTTATGTCAGAATGACGCATCTCACGTGACCAAAATATTTTTGCGACGAAAGCTTATGACGTATGGAATCCCATAGTGAACACTACTCAATATATATAGGCCCTATCTATAGTCCTTTTGCCGTAGACAACCACATTATGGAAAGGCCTATAATCACTTATTATTCTCAGCATTCAATAAAATGTTAAAAATTCTACAATTTATACTTTTTGTAATTCAGTGTATTGCATATTAGTCCATTAGAATCCAGAATCTTGAAAAAGAGGGGTTGGGGTTGGGGTCGGCGTATATATACAAGCCTAAAGCACCCCCAATGATATATTAAATCTTATCTTGGACACAAAAGGGGATGGACTTGCGTTTGTAAAAGTGATCTGTCCGATTTTCAGTGGCGGATCTAAAACGTTTTATATTTTTTATTTCTGTCATAACATGCATTGTTATACAAACATGACAAAGCTACAGCATAAGGAAAAAAGAACAACAAATATTTATACATGATAGGCATAAAAGACTTCCATTGAACAATTTTGCAAATAAAAAATGGACATTATATTTATTACTTTTCTGTACGTACATCACTGACTGAGAAACGTTTTTAAAAATCCTAACTTTGCTTTATCATGTCTGCTTTCTTATGAGAGAGAGAAAGGGAGGAAAAAAGCTCGATAGTTCTATGATATTTAAGTAAAACCAAAAATGCAAGAAAAGAGGGTGTTATATTTTTCCATTTACAATGCATTATATATTGCTTTGCAATCAGAATAATTATGTTCAACGGTCTGAAAGCAGTTTCACTAGAACCATTATATCCAAATATGATTTCTTCAAATGTAAATTTAATTATTAAGCCAAAAGTAATGGATCAAGGACACAAGCATATTAGATGAATAAGTGTTTCTTTAGTATCATGACAAAAGGAACAAAGTTCTGTTTCAGCTAATTTACATTTCATAAATTTGCTATTTGTAAAAAATATTTGATGTAAAAGTTTAAAGTGAAAGCATCGAAGCTTCGTGTCCTCTGTTATTAAATAGGGTAAAGAAAAGAGTTTTTCCATTTATTTTCAGGAATATGTATTGAAAGTTCCCCACCCCCATTTTCTTAAAGCCATCGAAGGGGGCTTTGCTATCTTTTCTACAAAAAAACTTATAACAATATTTTGTAACTTTAATGTTTCTTTGAAGTATTAAAGTATTTTCACTTTTAATTCCATTCTTATCTATAAGGAAAGAAAGTTCTTTTATGTGTATGTGCACAGTGGTGATATGGAAAACTACATTTATTTGTCCAATCTACAAGAAAGGAAAGGAATTTGAAGCCATATATTACCGTTCAGCGTCACTGACATTCATAGCCTGCAAACTGATGGAACACATAATTATAGTAACTAGTAGGTCATGTGTCAAGCCGAACAGGATAGTATCCTACACCTCTCCAACATGGATTCTGTAAAGGTCTGTCCTGCGACACACAGCTAGCCGACTTTGTGGATGACATAACCAGAAATCTGAACAAGGGCAAACAGACTGACTGTTTAATTATGGACTTCAGTAGAGCTTTTGACAAAGTTTAATTTGCCACAGTCTATTACTCCACAAATTAGATCACTATGGAATAAGAAGCAAAACAAACATATTGATTCAAAACTTCCTCCAAAACAGAAGTAAGTGAGTTGTAGTCGAGAGTGAGACTTCAAGCTCAATCCCAGTGGAACCAGATGTCCCTCAGTGATCAGTACTGAGACCAAGTTTATTTCTTTACTACATTAATGACATGCCCGAGAAAGTGAGATCAATTGTATATCTAACGATAACATCAGACATAGATACAATCCACTCACCAAGACCTTGACCGACTTGCAGCATGGGAGGAGACTTGGAAAATGAACTTCCATCCAGAAAAATGCAATGTTCTCATTATATCTAGGAAAAGGCATCCCATTATGAAGAATTACATCCTTCATGGACATCAACTTGAACATGTAACAACAGCAAAATATCTAGGTGTATCAATTACATCAGATATGAAAAGGAACCATCATACCCCCATCTCCAAGAAAGCCAACAATACCATTAGCCTTCTAAAACTTAACTTGAACATAAGAAATTCAAACATCAAAGAGAAAGCATACAAGTAACTCGAAAGATCTACCCTAGAATATACTTGTACTACCTGGGACCCGTACTTGAAAGAGGATCGATACATATAAGATCGAGATGGCGCAACGCAGGACAGCCAGGTATGTGACCAATTAGTATCACAACACCTCGTCGGTCACAGAAATGCTGGACACCCTGCATCGGCAAATGTTGGCGGAGAGTAGGAAGAGAGCCAGGTTAATCCATATGTATAAGATCCGAAATGGACTAGTCAGAATTGTAACATCAGATAAACTAGTACCACCGTTAGGACTCAGCCGTAACGTGGAAGTGTATTCCTTGCAAGTACCATTTAGCGACACCCAAGTTCGGAGGGAATCATTCTATCCCAAGGCCATCAGGAATGGACTCCGCCCACTGACATAGGAACATTCAAGAGCCTTGATGTCTTCAGGGCCTGCTTACTTGATTGATTTTTTTAAATTGGTATGCGCACCGAAGTGACATGCACTGAGAGAATTACCTAGTTGATTTAACTAGTGTGCCTAGTAAAGCGTTCGTCTTGATTAGTAATCACTCTGTGTACTAGCTAAGGTAGTGAAAAGTTGAGTGATGGTCGTAAAGATACTTAGATACCTAGTGAAAGTTACTTATAAATTCTTAGATTTACTAACATTATCTAGTAGATCTACCCAATACCTAGTAAAACTACTTTTGAGGTAGTGATTGTATGGACAGTAAATTTACTAATCTTCCCAGTGACTTTCACTAGTTATGTTTTTTTCAGTGCAGTATCATCAGTGATTGATGGTGGCCGCAGACTGGTAGACGAAGAAGGTGGTGGTGGTAATGTTTGGCGCCCGAAGGGAAAAAGCATAGGATATGAGAAGGGGAATAATTCCACTACTTTTGGTAGGTTTGGGTGACCTCCTCAGAGAATTTAAAAAAAAAGCTCCAAATGGTGGAGTTAAAAATGAATTGATTACATTAATTTGTTCTTAATTTAAATAATAGTGTTTCTGTCTTTGACAGAGTGTCTATACATACACATGTTCGTTTCAGTTTGAAGAAAATTCAATTTTATGTCCTCGTAATCGAAGATTCGGGGGGTATATAGTTTATCCTGTCTGAGCGTCTGTTTGTACTCAAGCATTGTGGACTTTGCTAAAACCTTTAAATGGTTTGGCGGTATAGCATTCAATGTGTCTTGTTTCCAACAAGATCTTTCTTTGGTATAACATAATTACTAGGGCCGTTCGATAAATAATGTCCCCGGAGCTCGGAAAGAAACATAAAATGCTTTTCAATGATTTAGCCTTCATGATTTCTCTTTAAGTTAAAATACACGTCCGTAACATTTTATCTAATGTCTGATTGTTTTTTTAGAACCCATTTTTGACTCATATAGCTCTTTGTATACTGGAATATGACATCCTATGATTTCCTGGAATTGTTTCTTCTTTCTGAAAGGTATTTTTTCAATTTTGGAGAATGAAACATGTCAAAAGGTGAAAGATCTGGCGAATATTGTTGATGTGACAAAACATTAACTTTCTGTTTATCAACAAAATTCTTTTATTCTTCAGGGCGTGCGGGTTGGAACGCTGTCACGTATTGAATTCTTGGTTCTGGTTCCTTCCTGTCATTAACCTTTCAATTTTTTTTTTGCAAACATTTTGCTTTCTAGACTCCTCCAGAAATTGAACGGCGTCCCCGAATACAGACCGCTAATATTTAAGAAAGTGGCATATAAATCTGTCTTTGTGCTCTTGCAGTTCTTTGCTCTTCTCAGACCTTGGCTGTTTTTTGTCTTATTGTAAATTTTGTTTTCAGGGTTTTAAGCAATAGATTCAAGTTTCATTATCTGTTTGAATTTCAGACAAACGTGAATAACTACAATTTCTGATTTTCTACAATAATTGTTTAGATATTCTAACACGCTGTCGTTTTCACTCATTCTTGTAAACATAGGGTGACCTTTGAGTACTTTTCTACTGTCAAATGTTTTTTTAAAACAATGTGAACTACTCCCAAAATGATGTTCATTAAATTTGCTATATGCCCTAAAGTCAATCAAACATCATCAGTGATTATTTGTTGAATTTTTAGCAAACAGTACATTGGTAGTTGTAATTCCTTGTCGCGAAGGACAGTACCTATTTTTGATGCCCATTACAACATTTTTGTTTAATGAAATCCACCTGCTCATGTATCTATAAAACAGACATTGGTTGCTGTAAATTTCACATATTTCAGTGAATATTTCTTTGGGATTCTCAACAAGTTTTACAACAGCTTTAATGAGGCATTCATTTTCACTCTAGTTTACTTATTCTTAACCTTTCATTTTTAATACAGTGTCTCGAATAGCCCTTGTTTTTCAGCTTCTCACAATGAAACTATGTGATGAAAAGTGGTCACATAAACTGTTATAAATTCATTAAAGATTCAATGATGAGAGAAAGTCAAGCTTAATGTCATATGATATCTATGTTATATGTCATAGAGTTCAGGGCATTATTTATTGAACAGCTCTCGTATTTGACCTTCTGACCTTGGAGTCTGACCTACTTTTATAAAAAATTATGTATTGAAACTTAAGTTTAACCTTGAGCATAACTTTTGAACAGCTGATACTAGGGCTATCATTCTTCACAATGATCTGTATTCCTTGTGACAATACTGGCCTTGGTCTTAAATATTTTTTAACTTTTGATCTTTACCCAATTATAAGAGTTTGACCCACTTTTATAAAAACATTAACCTTGGTTAAAAGTTTTGAACATTTAGTACTAGGGCTTTGCTATTTCACAGATATACTCAGTATTCCTTTGGACAAGACCTTTTAACCTTGACCTTGTAACTGGACCTACTTTTGAAAAACTTTAATCTGCATTATTTATAACTTTTGAACAGTTGTTGCCAGGGCTATTTACATGTACATTTCTTCATTACCTTGGATGCCATTGAATATGAAATTGACAAATCTTCAAAAAATCTTAAGGTTTCATCAAAGGTCAACATGTCAGAAAAAATTTATTCTTATAATAGCTCCAAAACAATGTGTTTCATAAAGTTCAAACTTTAACAGTTTATAAACATATCATTGATTAACAGGTAGAAAGTACCATTTGATAACAAATACTGAATAAAACAAACTGTATTTGTGAAACACTGATGCCCCTGTATGGCAGCTTATGGCGATGGTTGAATTCTCTTAAATGTATAAAAAGGTCTTGTTACAAGTAATCAAAGAATACAACTGTGAAATAAGAAGAAAGCCCTAGTTCTAACTGTTCAACCAAGATTAAAGTTTTTAAAAAGTTGGTCAAACTCTTAGGTCAAGATCAAAAGATTGAAAAAAATTATATCAGCTGAAATGTCTTGTCACAATGAATACAACTGTGAATTATGAAAGCTTTAGCTCCAACTGTTCAAAAGGTATCACCAAGGTTAAAATATGGTACTTTTTTGTAAAAGTAGGTCAAATTCCAAGGTTAAGAGGTCAAATTTGGTGGTACCCAAAGAAAGGTCTTGTCACAAGGAATATACCTGTGAAATATGAAAGCCACACCGACTAAACAGTTATGGGTTAGATTAAAGTTGACAACAGACAGACAGGAAAAAAACAATGTAACCCAGGGTCTTTGATCCGGGGGCATAAATATTTGTCGAGAAAAATTCTTTTAAAATATGGTTATATTTTTAAAAAGTAAAAAATACACCTAAATAATTCCGTGCTTGTAGTGAAAGCAATTATTTCAGAAAAATATATGTTTATCAATGAAAGACAAGTTGGACTTCGATAGCCTCTGGAAAGTTATTTTGTCTAAATGTTAAGATTTGAAACCAAAAGTGTAAATGACGGATTTTATAGGGTTTTTGTCCTTATACATGTCATGCTTTCAATAAGAGCCTTTCAAAGACCATTCACGCCCAACTTGCTCTTCATTGATTTAAGGAATAATTCTCATATTTTTTGATTTCATGATGTGATCAATCGATCGGCTTGCGTTACGCCGAAGGCTTTTATGCATAAAATTATCGCGCAAGCCTTAAAACCGAAAGTCATCGTAATGAAACACACAAAGATGGAGAAATATTAGTAAACTATAAAAAAGTAATGTGTTGATTCCGCCAACTACATGCTCCAAGACATACTGATTATGTCTAGCTATTTGTCCCGCCCTGCACGTGACTTTTTTTATAACCGCGCCAAAACATTGATGGGGAAATAAAGTACATTAACAATTTGCTTTATACCTCACATTGTTTTGGAGTTATTGTAAAAATAATTTTTTGGACATGTTGATCTTTAATGAAACGTTAACCTTGGCCATACCATTTGAATTGTTGGTGTTTGGGCTTTCATCTTTGACAGTTCTAATATTCCCTGAGACTTTCCCTCATTTGGGTAACAGCAGTTTTTGTTTCCTGACCTTGCAGTTGAACTTGCATTTGAGAAACTTTAACCTTCTCCAGCAGCTACCATACGGGGGAGGGGGGCATCAGTATTTTACAAACGCATCTTGTTATGAAAGAGCAAATTCAATTTTTTTTTGGTTTTTATCTTTGTATTCAGACAATACACACAAAATACTCTTTAACCAAGCCCCTATGCCACATGTAGACATTCCTCTTTTGAACATCCACTGCTTACAGTGGTTTTTATTGAGATGGTAAACTTCTTCGACTGAGTGGAACGTTTTTTACTCTCATAAATTAAGGAACATCTCTACTGTTACACAACGACAAGCATTAGGTTACATCGCCGAGCACTTGACATTTTGAAGTGAATGTTGCGGACCCATCGGACGAGATAAAAACTGAGGTTTCGTGTCACGGCAGACAATAGCATGATAAAGACCTTCAGTTGCTCATAAATTATAGTAAAAAACGTCGTAAAACAACATACTGTTACACAACACAACGACAAGCCTTAGTTTAAAAGATTTATTGATATCCTCAAATAAATGTTACCTGTGAAATAAGTCCAAGCACCAACCAATTCAGAGTTATTGCAAAGGTTTTTTTTTAAAAAATCTGGTCAAACACCATGGCCAGGATCAAAAACAAAGTCTTGTAACAAGAAATAGGCTCGACGTGCGAAACATACAATACTACATGTATGTTAAGAATGAAAGCCCTAGCACCAACTATTCTAAAGTTATAGACAAGGCTAGAGTTGGACATGCTCCCTCCGCTACTCCTTCAAAGTTCCGTGTAACAATCCTGTGTAGCAGGAATCTGTCGATATGTAGAATTTTTTTTGTCATTCATATTTTTTTTTATTTCTGTCATAACTTGCACTGTAATACAAACATTACAAAACTACAACATAATAAAAAAAAACACCCCCGAATATTTATACATGATGGACAATGAATACTATACTTCCATTTGAACAATTTTGAAAAAAATGGACATATTTGTTTATCAATTTTTCTGTACATTATCTTTCACTGACTGAGAAACGTTTTCAAAAAAATCTCAACTTTGCTTTATCATGTCTGCTTTCTTATGAGAGAGAGAAAGGGAGGAAAAGAGCTCAAAAAGTTCTAAGATTTAAGTACTTCCAAAAAAGCAAGAAAAGAGGACGTTATATTTTTGCATTTACAATGCATTATATATTGCTTTGCATTCAGAATGATAATGTTCAACGATCCGAAAGCGGTTTCACTAGAACTGTTTATCCCAATATGATTTCTACAGGAGTAAATTCAATTAATTAACCACAAGTTTTACGAAGTTTTTCTCTTAAACTAGACCATAAAGTAATGGAAAAAGGACAAAAGCATAGTAGATGAATAATTGATTCTTTAGTATCATGTCAAAAAGAACAAAGTTATGTTTCAGCTAAGTTACCTTTCATAAGTTTGCTATTTGTAAAAAAAATATTTAATGTAAAAGTTTTAACTGAAAGCATCGAAGCTTCGTTTCCTCTGTTATTAAATAGGGTAAAGAAAAGGAGTTTTTTTCTTTAAAATATTTTGAGAAATATGTATTGAAAGTTTTTCTTCCCAGTTTCTTAAAGCCATTGAAGGGGACTCTGCTATCTTTTCAACAAAAAATCGATAAGTCTATGTAGACTTAGATACTACTCTAGTACTCAACTATCATTCAAAACCTTGTTTATTGCACAGGATTTATGATAAAGATGTTCGTAAAAAAGAAAACAAAGAAACCATGGTCGTTTTTCACAAAGTCAGTTTTTAAAATATTTTTGATTTATTGAAGTTGAATTTCTTTTTTCCCTTTTTTATGTGTCAAAAATACAATAATCATAAGGCAATATAACACTCGGCTTTTGGGGAAAAATCCTGGAATAAAATATTTATTGGCAAGTGTATCATCCTTACCTATGTTCTAAAAAGTGTACATAACCAAATGATGTACATAATTATATTCTTAAATGTAGGCCTTTTGCATTAATTAATATGTTGAAAACCAGGAGTTCATTCATATTATTGTTTATTTCTCTTCTTATTGGTAAACGTATGTTCTGTCATGCTGCAGCCTAATCTCGCTTATTTATCAAGCGTTCGTCACATTTCTTTTCACGTTTGAAATTTCTTTGGTGACGGGGTGGATATGGATCATTTTGGATAACTGCACCTGGAATCTTAAAGTTACAAATATAAATCAAGTTCTAATTTAGGAAAACACAGTTTATTGATTTAATATTCATATTCACCTTAAGTGTATTATTTTGGGTTATATATTTTTCTTCTTCATCAAAGTAATTACTTTTATTAATACAATTACTTTTTCTTGTTCTTTATGTAAGAGCACATCCTCCTTTTTGGAATTCAAAAATACGTTTTAGAGTGTAATTAAATTACCTTCTTTTGTTTTTCATGTAAGAGCACGTGGCTTGTGGGTTCTTTTGATAAACTTTCTCCAGCCTGCTGCTTACTTCCTCAGGGAAATCCGTCCAGCCATCGTACCTGTCGTGTACCTGCCATACCACAGCTACTTCTAGTACAGATTATTGTTAAAGACATTAAATTCATCTTGGCAATGTAAGTATGTGACGTTAATTAAAGGGTAGTAATATATTTTTTTCATATATCCTTTTATATAAAGGAAATATTCAATATAAAATATTTAGAGTATTGATGTAAGAGCACGCCTCCTCATTTTGGGATACAAGAATGTATCTTTATATTTAAATTAGCATTTCCTGATCCAATAAAAATTTAATTTAGAGACAGTTATTTTTTATTTTTAGGAAATACTGAGTAGAGTGTATATACCAGGCGTCTTTAGCACTGGTTCTGCATCATGGCCACTGTTAGGAGAAGCCTTTGTACTGACGGTGATTTCATCAGTACTGCAAGAGGGACTAGGAGTCTGGTTTACGTCTTGCACACCGCTGGAAACATCAGATCCAGATGTCGTGTCTGAATTGGAGGATTTATCAGATGATGAAGAACAAGAGAGGTTTAATCTCTCTGAGTCTTCCACAGGTTCCTCGTCAGCTGGTTCGATGGTGACCCTTTCCTGTTTTCCCTCAGTTTTAGCCACAAAGTCTGGACTATTTTCTCCATCAACTTCTAATGATGAACTACTTTGTATGACTGGTTTTGTACTATGTATTTCACATTTCATGGCAGATTCTGCTTTTCTGATTTTGTCCCCCGCTGATTGAGATTTCTCTTGTTCTTGTCCAGACTTTGATTCTGGCATTGGTTGAATTAGAACACCACTATTTGTCTTCGAATCTTCTGACGTTCCTTCTGAAGCAGATATTGGTTGTATTGCACTTGCTCCACTCAATTCTTCACATTGCTCTTGTTGTACATCTACCGTCTCTGATTCTCTATTTGTCCCTCCAGACTTCGAGCCTTTTTCTACAGATAAGGGCGCCTCTGATTCTCTATTTGTCCCGGCAGACTTCGAGTCTTTTTCCACAGATAAGGGCGCAGAGTCCGTCTCCAGTTGATCTTCTATTCTTTTAGAGCGCAATGCGTTTCTTTTGTTCATTTCCTCTAAAGTCCTGTTGTTATTTTTATCTCTTTCATCAGAATTCACTATGTCTTCTATACGAGGTTGATCTTCTGTAGTTACTTGGGGTTTGCTTTTAGTGCGTTTCTCTTCATGGCCCTCTTGCCATTGGAAGTTCATGCTCAGCATTCGAAATCTTACTTCTTCATCAAATGGATCACTGAAACAATTTAATTATATACGATATTCGATCATGATAATTAAGCTATCACCATCAACAATCTGATTTCAGACGATTCAGGTAGTTAAAAAAATACATAAGGAATTTAACGTAACTACAAATGTAGAAAAGATTATAAAACAATTAATACTGTATTTAATGAATATAAATATTTATGATAAGATAATTATTTATAATTATATTTGAAAATATAAATGATTTACCAAATTTCAACTTCAAAAAATCCCTGTCTGCCATATTTGTATCTTCTTTTACGTCCAGTTGGCCACCTAACCTGTAAACGGAATTCAAAAACTGCTTTTGTATATACATTATGATTATGTTTATGCCCGTGAAATACTGTAATTTATTCATTGAATAAAAATGATATCCTGTCACAGTGTGAAAGGATATCAAAATGATATCCTGTCACAGTGTGACGAATATCAGAAGTGCGGGAAAACTCTCGATTTCCCTTCCCATAACAAAGACTGCTGTAAAAAAATCTTCCTTGACCTAATATAAGATAGATGGAAATAAACAAACCATTCTGACAGCAAATAAAACTGTCAAAATTACCAAAATATTTTGCTAAATACATGCTACAGTGTTTTCACTTCACTTAGCTATGACGTTGCAACCGCTCAACTATGACGTCACGAGCCTATGACTGTATTACAAAAAGACAGAGGCAAAGGAAAAATCAAAGAATTTTTTTAAAAATGTAATAAACAGAAAATTCGCACTCGTGAAAATATAAAAAAAATCCTGTCCCACTCGTGAAATAAATTCCATATTCAACTACAAAACATTGAATATCCTCTATTTACTTGCCAATGGCCTACTGTATCTGACAAATGACAATACGTATATATATTACACGTACGCCCACTGTGCCGTCTGAGTGTACACGGAACACTACCCCTATGTTGCCAGGTCCGCCGTCCTCGTCATCATCCCTCCAGTTATCACCTGTAACAGATGAATAATGTTTTATCCCTCCAGTATTCACTTGTAACAGATTAATAATGTAGTATCCCTCCAGTATTCACCTGTAACAGATTAATAATGTATTATCCCTCCAGTTATCACATGTAACAGTTTAATAATGTATTATCCCTCCAGTATTCACCTGTAACAGATTAATAATGTATTATCTCTCCAGTATTCACCTGTAACAGATTAATAATGTATTATCCCTCCAGTATTCACTTGTAACAGATTAATAATGTATTATCCCTCCAGTATTCACCTGTAACAGATTAATAATGTATTATCCCTCCAGTATTCACCTGTAACAGATTAATAATGTATTATCCCTCCAGTATTCACTTGTAACAGATTAATAATGTATTATCCCTCCAGTATTCACCTGTAACAGGTGAATATTGTATTCTTATAGGGTCACGTAGAGAAATAAATCATTCAAACATTGGAAAATTTAACGTAAGATGCTAAAATATAAGTTAATTAAGTTCAATTGCATGTAACAATGTGAAAGGGATAAGCTGGACTAATATACATGTAACTATACATGTATATAAACTTCCTAATGATATGTGAAATTAGCAGCAATCAAGCTCAAAAGTCCATTGAAACATCCAAAATGTGAACATAGCAAAGGAAGACCCCCGAAAACATGAGGTGGGATCAGATACTAAAGAGGAATAAGCATCCACAGAACCTCCACCCTTACACGGTCCAAAACAAATGGCCATTATGCCCATCGTCTTAAAACTATGTGAAGGCTAATCATAATGTGTTTTCAATATTACGTTTTCATTTAAACAAAAACTTATTCAATTTTAGTTGATTGGGTAAAAGATTTAACCCATATCATACTCCCCGTCGAGGCCTCAACTACAGGGAGCAAACGAACTCATGGCGGAAGTTTGAACCCATATAAATAAGTTGCCTACATGTACGTCACAATGAGTTACGTCAAAAACGTATTACTTCGCTTGACGTTACTTAAAATTGTCTCATTGACTTGTCTGCACTGAAATTAAATTATAAGGAATGAAGCTAATATTACAACGTATGTTATACGATATAACATAACATAAAGCAGTAATGTTTTTTTAAAGCATCGCGGTTTTTAAAGCGGAAACCGCCCCAAGTTATGTTATATCGTATAACAAGTTATGTTATATCGTATAACATACGTTGAAATAAACTTCATTCTTGAATTCTTTTTTTTATTTAATTTTTTGTTTAAACGAACATTGATAAAGAAATTCATTTAAATAAATGTTTATTTGTTTCATTAATAATAATTTGCACTAGATATTGCAGATCAAGAAAATTCTAACCATGTAGATAAGATTTACTAAAATTTGCATATAAAGATGAACACTACCTGTACGAAATGTTCCGCCTGGAATATAGGGGGAATGGAGGCGTACTTGGAGAGGCGTCAATTTGTCTCTCTACATATATGGTGATACACAGATTCCGGGCGTAACTTAGGCGGAAACCAAGCGTAAATGGGCAGGAATTTGAGACGAAAAATGCAAATGAGCTACGCCCGGAAAAATAAATGACGCCCGTAAAAAAAATTACGCCCGGAAACTAAAATGAGGCCTGGAATAGAATTACGCCTGGAATGTCCTTATTATTATATAATACTACGTGACCTAAAAACCTATATATTTACCATGTTAACAAAGAAAAACATTCAGATTATGATTTACAATGTTAAAGCTAAAAATGAAAACATAATGACAGGTCATTAACATATATTAACAAGTATATGAATTTTTGCATTTAAAACACGACCACCATGATTGAGTGTGTATTTGGAATTAAACTTTTTTACAATACCTGTACATTTTATCACTTCAATAATTATATTGAAACATTTTAGTTACTGACTGAATACGATTCTTCATTTATAGTTAGATTCTCACTGCATGATATTTCTCAGAATGTGTGCAAGGACAAACTCAAATATCTAAAGTAATTTTAGGGTCAACAAGTTATAACTATCATTGTACATAATCATAATCAAATTTACTCAGATAGGTACTAGATATTCATGATCACACCTACCAGCAGACACTGTGTCCTCAAGAAGTGTAAAAGCCTAAACATTAAGATATCTGCATTTCCTGTTTCACTCACACTAAACTCCCTCCTTCATGATCAAATTCAAACTTAACTTCCTATCTGAAATGACCCTTAATTGATAATTAAATTGACCAATAAGAACTTCTCCTGAAAGTTCCAGGCGTAATTTTTGTTTCTATTTTCCTGCCATTTTACGCCCGGAAAATCTGAACTTGCCAATTGACGCCCGGAAATTACAAATGACGCCTGTAAGACGTCTCTTCTACTGAGGCATAACTCTTTGAAAATTCCGTCTCCGCCTTACATTTATCAATTCCACCCAAATTCCAGGCGGAATCCGCCTTTAAAATTCATACAGGAAGCATATTGCATCCACCTTCCTCATGAAAGGCAGAATAATTAAACCTATACTATATATTTTTATAAGGTAAAACTTACATATATATACTTTAAATAAACACAATGTTGAGGGTATTTTTATATATTTCATTGTATTTTAAGTACCTCTTCTGACCAGACAACCCACTTCAATGAACTGATGTTGCTGTAAAATTCTGGGTTCATCTACCACTATTACTGCAAATCGTCCTGAAGCTCCATACGGGTAAACGTTTAGATGACCATTGTCCCACATGACTCTTATAAAACCTTTAACATAACATTTTAAAATTCAGTAGAAATTACTGGTGAGTACTACGTCCTGGCACACATACACATTCTAAAATGTTATGTATTGTATATACATAATTACAAATTACCGGTATCTTAATACAAATACTAAAACAACCCCAGAAAATTGACAGTATAATTCCTTGCTTTTTGATTAAAAAAATAATAGATCAAAGAATTAAGACAATAAAAAGACAAGCCACCTCCTCGGTTATGTTCTACTATCGTCCCTGGCCCGTCTCCGTCCTGTCCGATAAACTCAGGCGACCAATCCGGACCCCGCCTGACCCTGGTGCCGATAGGTGGCATGTTAGACGAACCCTCGTTTGGCACCGCATTTTCATCATCATCATCATCGTCATCACCCAGTCCTCGTTGAGGTGGTGGATTTCTCACATATTCCACGACATCATCCTTCAAATAATCAAAATAATTCAGTGCAATGTTTTTATTAACAACCAGAGAATGAGATTTGACTCAAACTATTTTATGCATATATAATGATTCATCATTTACAAAATTATGTGGACTGTGGAAAAGTTAACTGGGTTATATTCACTTCCATGGTTCATAGTTTTAAAATATAACAAAATATCTTCTTTGTGGGAGTGTTTATTTCATAGAAGTTTATTATATGAGAAAAATGCATTTTAAAAGATTATTTTAACTAATGCCTATTCCTCTGCATGAGTTCAATATTAAGATAATTACCCTACTCCTCGTCGTTAGTACAATATAATTACCCTATTCCTCTTCGTGTGTTTATATTCAGATTATTACCCTATTCCTTTAGTGTGAGTTCCATGTTAAGAAAATTACCCTATTCCTCTGATTGAGTACAATAGAAAGATAATTACCCTATTCATCTGCGTGAGTTCAATATAAAGATAATTACCCTATTCCTCCGTGTGAGTTCCATATTTAATAAGAAAATTACCCTATTCATCTGCGTGAGTACAATATTACCCTATTTATCTGTGCGAAATCAATACAAAGATAATTACCCTATTCCTCTGTGTGAGTTCGATATAAAGATAATTACCCTATTCCTCAGTTAGAGATCAATATTAAGATAATTACCCTCTTTTTTCTGTGCGAGTTCAGATCATTACCCTATTCCTTTGTATAAATTTCAATATTAAGATATTTTTTTTCCTCCTGTGTGTGTTCAATAATAAGATAAATCATCCTACCACTCCCACCCTGTCCGATGATCGAAGTTGAGACTACCAAAATAACCGTTGCCCATTCCTCCAAGTTTAAAATTAAGATAATTCACAGTGCCCTCTCCTCTCTGATATTGCGATTAAAAAGTGCCCTTTCCTCTGCTTAAGAGTGAAATTAAGATAATAACCACTGTCCACTCATCCATCTAATTTGAAATCAAGATAATTAGCAGTGCCTTCTTGTCTGTTTAATTTTGATATAAAGTGTTTGATATAAAAATAATTACCATATCTAAATTATTCTGTGAAGACACTGTAGCCTCCGCTGCTGCTCGTATCATATAAGGATCAGCTGTACGATAGTCCGGGAAATTCCTTCGTAATGCCGCTGCAATGAACTGAAATTTGTGTTTCCAATTTAAATAAGCATCTATGCATATCTTTTTACTCTGATTTTGATACTTATTAACTAATGAAGTTTTGTTTAAGCGAATCTAAGAATCATAATTGGAAAAAAGAATCCTAGAACAAATGTTTATCCAATAACTTTTAATCACCTCTGTATGAAACTGGTGGATCAATTTTTCAAAATTGGCTGGTTGGACTATTTTTCCTGATGTAGCCTCAACTAATGGACTTATAATGGCCTAAAATGATAATAAATTCTCACCTCTTTAATATGATAATGGTATTTTAAATCAAGTACTCCATGTGAGGTTAGAATAAGAATATCTGGAAAAACGTTACTTGGAGAGGAATAAACACTGATCTTTAAAAGTTACTTGTACTTAAATATATAAAATCTCAATATATTTTTCTTAAAAGCCTGCAAAATAACCAATTGTGGAACAACAATTAAAAAATTGCACATTTTAAGAAGAAATTGAAATATATCAATTGATTTATTAACCTCGTTGGCCTGTCCTACTGGAACACAATAGACTCTGTTACCTCTCTCTTTGAAACGTCTTGCCATTATCGTAATATCAGTGTTTATCTGTGCAAAACGAAAATTTGAATCAAGCATGAAATGGAATGGTAGTTCAATATAATATCATTGTGCTTCTAAAATAATTAAGTATGATTTGTAAGTTTTCTTAATGATTGTAAGTGAGTCATATTAAACTCATAAATTTGTCTTTTAAAAGATCTCATCATCTAGAATGTCCTAAAAGTATCAAAGATAATTAGTTAATTGCCAGACCATCATCAGCTCGGACAGATCAGGGACGAAGTCGTCACTGGTTGTAACCAGTTCGGGTGTGGCTACTCCATCCGTGATGACGATTACACGAGGGAAAAAGAGAACCCCGTCCATCTGTGGAATTGTCACTCCAAAGAAAGAAGTAAACAACTATCTCTTAATTATTCAAGTTTAGTTTCACAGCATATCATTTTGACTCCGTTCATACCAATGAAAGCCTTCAGTTGATCCAAATTAATATTAAGAATAGGAAAAACGCGGATTTGTGACAGGTGACAACAATGACTTTTACTGAAATACATCTTTATTTTGAAATTTAAAAGTACAGTAAAAAAAACAACTGATTATTGATTAAAGATATTCTTGTTAGCTGGAAAACCAATTGAAATTTAAAATGTTTTCATTGTGAGTAAAATAAAGTCAACATTTACCCCTCATGGTCAAAGGTAAGGAGAGCATCAACCCTGCAGTGAGAGGACTGTGGCCGCCAGGGCGCAATTTGCCTGTAAACAAATGAAACAATGACATAAAAAAAGAACAAACAATGAGAAGTGATTCAACAGCAACACCTTGTATAATACAATACTCACTGATCTCTTGTTTCAGTCGTGGATAATCCAAGCAGCAGCGACTGATTACTTTTGTTTCTGCTCCAAAACAAACCAACCCAACCTTTTCCGAAACCGAATCGTTACTCTCCAGGCCTACTCATATAAAATAAATATTAAAAAATAATTTCGCCTGATAACATTTATGTCATTTTTAAATTATAGATTCTAACGTTCAATATTTTCGGTAGAGAACATTACGATGTACATATACATGTGTCTCTATATTTTAAAAAGAGGAAAACTATGTGTTATATAAACAAGATCCTTTGAAAATTCCGTAGTTACCTATATCTATTTCAGTATCTACGTATTATTCAGGATTAATAAACAGCTAATGTTTAAATCACTGTGTCAAATGTTGTTACGCTTAAATGTATGGAGATAACGAACAATATTGAAGCTCAAAAATCCATTCAAACAAAACAAATCAGGAGGAAAACAAACATGGACCTCTAAAACATCAGACGTGGGATCAGGTACCATAGAGGAGTGAGAATTCCTTTGCCACTGGTTACACCCAGCATATGTTCCTTACCAATTAAACAAAAATCTGTAGACAACCCTGTGTCCGCAAAGAAAGGCACAGCAATCAGCAAATTAAAATTGTCCGTCATCATTCAACAAAATGGTGAACTACACCTGCTGACAAGATCACTGTGCTTACCACATAACTTAGGAAATGATGACTTCACACAAGAATAAAGAATCAATTGGTGTACAAGAACAGTAACCATGTCACCATGTCCAATTTAACAAAACAAAATGTGAGCAGAGTACATACAAACTTCAGAAAGGAGAGATGGGATCACGTGACACGGAGAAGTGGGCTTCTCTATCAATCAGTCACATCTGCCCTGTCCATATTCAACCAATAATAAGCCTTATTAAAAGGCAAACCCACCGGACAGGAATCTGAGGGCCAGATTAATCATGGTTCTGAAGGGATTCCCCCACATGCTGTCTGAGGTATCCAGACAAAGTACAGTGTTCGGTCCGCATACGTTATCAGCTGGCCCTTCGATAGCACCTAAGAAAAAAGTGTGCACAATGATATCCAAGATCGTTTTTACTCATTTAACATGAAATTCATGCTGAAATATACATTACATTTTTAGTATTTTACTTGTTAATCTAAATGATCAGGAGTACATACTCATCCGAAGAATTTCATTTGCTCTGTCTACCCAGTACCCAGGATTCAATGTCTCCCTTTGTTTACTGATGGGAGTGGAAAAGTCTTGAAGAATTAAAAATTAACATTAAACACCATCTAAAAAATGTATAATTATTTTTTTGTTTTAATAAAAAAAAATTTATAATAAAAAGTATCGAACATATCTGTATAGTTACTTGTTTTATTAACCCGATCTGGAATGTTAGATTGGTTTGTCATTTCCTCCTGCCGCCTAACATCACTGTTATCTGATTGCTGTGATTTTGACTCTACTACTATATTAGGATTCATTCTTTTTTCCTGTTCTTGTTGCCTAGAAACACTGCCAGTTGCCTGCACTGAACTTGACTGGCTTACATTACGATTGTTTTTGGTTTCCTCTTGACTAACACCGCTTGACTGCCCCGAATTTGACGACTACATTAATTGTTTTTGGTTTCCTCTTGACTAACACCGCTTGACTGAATTTGACTTACATTACGATTGTTTTTGGTTTCCTCTTGACTAACACCGCTTGACTGCCCCGAATTTGACTGGCTTACATTACGATTGTTTTTGGTTTCCTCTTGACTAACACCGCTTGACTGCCCCGAATTTGACTGGACTACATTACGATTGTTTTTGGTTTCCTCTTGACTAACACCGCTTGACTGCCCCGAATTTGACTGGACTACATTAGCATTCATACTATTTCCACGTTCCTGAGGGATGCCTTCTGAGACCGATTTACTTCCCTGTTTCTCTTGTCTTGATTCAAAAACATTTTCAGACAGGTTGTTTTCTGGGACTCGTTGGCAGTTTATTTTCATATCCTTGTTAGGTTCTTGCGATGACGACTGCGTTTCTGGATTTGTCAGAGGAATACTACGTGAATTACTAACGTAGTTTCCATCAAACTTTGTGTTTTCTTCAGATGACCTAAAAGTAAAATAGTAATATATAGTTCAACTCTTTACGACCTTCAATGTTCAGCACATAAAAGCCAAGCATGTATCTTTTATATTAAAGATATAATTGTTCTAGATTTAATGTTTCGAACCGGCCAAGTGCATAATGTTACAACTGAGTTAAGTATTCCTACCTTTTAAAAAAAATGGTTTCCATCATCATGTGGCATTCATGCTCCATGCTTACAGTTAAAATGGCGACAAAGATAGACATAGATAGAAAAGAGCATAAAATTAATATTGTAACCCTGTAAATTTGCATATTTTAAGTGCAGCTGAGGTGCCAGGTATTTTTTGTTTTAACGTTTTTGGAGTAGTTTTTTTGGAATGTGAAAACTGACCTTACCTTCCGTTTTAACCGTAAGATATTGCTGAACATTTTAGGAATCAGAGGATTGTGTAAGAGAAGTGTTTGGACTGAATGCGTACATTATGGAGTGCCTGGTAACTGAGAATTTCTTTAACCTTTCCAATGAACGTTCTTGTTTGTACAACAAAAGAATTCTTGTTTTCCTCTTTTATTATAAAAAAACCTTTTAAACATGCATACTTATACTAGTATTCAAAGCATTCATGCCTAATAATATATAATAGATTAACTCATATACATGTACCCTTGTTCTCTCGAGCTTTGGTGTACACCTTCTTTATTATCATGTTGTCTAGTTTTTACAGTTTTACTCCAGTCTTGTTTCTCACTTTCATCTTCCTCATTCACCTTTGTGGTTTGTGGCGTCACGAGTCTCTTCTCTTCCTTCCTCACTTCTGAATTTTTAACATCTTTATCTCCCCTAGGAAACTCCTCGCTTTTGCTGGATTGTAAACTATGAATTTCCTGTTCTATAACACTCAAGTTCTCTGTAAGTTTCGATAGAATTGTTTTGAGGTGCTGAATGGCTTCGTCTTTTTCCTTCCGCCTTTGTGTGAAATTCTCAACAATTCTCTCAAGCTCTAAAACAAAATATACTTGGAAATTGTTTTGTTTTATGTTAAGTAAAAGGTCTCAAATTAAAACTTCGTAATATCATTTATTTACACATCAAGAGATTAATTTGTAGAATGTAACCAATTATTAAAAAAAATTTAATCCATATATTTATTTTATTTCATTTATTTATTACAGATTTCAAATTGTTATATATTAAGATTCTAAATTCATTATTCATGCACACTTTTCTTTTATCAAACTGGAATGTACGTTATTTCATATATTAATCACAATTTTTTTTTTATCAACCTTCTTCATTGTTATACTAGTACTTCTAAATCTCAAAACAGTTCTAGAGTGAACTTCGAAATTAAACTTTGAAGTATTTACTATAATCAACAATTGTTAACTAAAGTAAACAACAGGTGTAAAGTAAAAAGGGAATGTAACTTTGCACATCCAGTGTTTAGAGTGAAACATTTCCTGAAGGAACAATTTTTTCTTTCCAGAAATCTACAATTTACATGTTAGTCATAACAAAGATTACATTAACATTAGCAGGTCCAATAACCAGATACACTTGTCAAATATATAAAGAGAAGATTAAAATTTACAGACTGAGCTATAAAAGGAATTTTAGGGTAGAATTTTGAAGACTTCGTTTTTCATTATGCTATTGTACAATACGTAAGTAAAGATTATTTTTAAAATATTGAACGTAGTAGAATGTTTAACCTTTCACTACTTTCAATATTCAAATAACATAGATCATTATAGATATAGTTCACAACTGTTGAACTACCTCCAATAACGCTTAGTCCGTCTCTGTTCAACTCTCTCTGGGACCTGCAAGATTCAAGGGAAAAAAATTATTACACAGATGTAATGTATAACATTTTTTTAAATTATCGACTGTTACATAGGCTCGAATACAAGTATTTCAAACTTGCAAATGTCGATCCCTTTGTTCCTTGTTGCATTTTCATGATAGCATCAGCAAAAAAGATAATATAGTGAGTTATAAATAACAAATGTATACAAAAAGTACAAATTGTCTTGTGAGTCAGGATTGTTGACTGCATACAAACCTATGTGTTTCATTACTTTTTGTGAGTATTCGCTTTGTTTATAAACTAGATACGACTGATGTGAGTTTATTCAGATTTTTGTACGTACTCGCTACGTTTGTTGACTAAATCCAGAATATCTCGATGGTCCCTTTCTAGCTGTTCCATTGACCTTACGCATCTCTCTACCTGTAATACGAGATGACATCATTGATTCCAGTCGAAACAATTTATCGTTTATACATGCGATCATCTCTCAACTTCAGTTTGTTCACAACCAGTGTTTTAATAATCGTTTACACTAACGATAATATCCCTATTTGAAAGAATGGAGGCGTACAGCGCAAGGACAATACCCCCGCTCTGAGAAAAGACATTTCTCAATCCTAAAAGTTATATTTTTCAAAATTATATTGTTTATATCATCTTTTACAAATTTAATTCTGTATTTCATTGTTTTCATATTTTATTAATAATTTATTTTACACTCATGTTTTTAAACTATGTGAAAACAAAAAATAAAATGCTTCACGTATGATTCGAACTCTCTCCACAGCGCAGGGTTTGGACCAAGACCGACCGCTTTAACCAGTACGTTACGAAGTATATGCATTATCGACCTCTGTCAGTGTGATTTAAATGAACGGGTTTGTTGAAGCGTACATTTTTTCAGAAATTTTCGATTTTCATATAGAATGGGTTCAGATTCCATTTTTTGGACGAATGAAATAGATTTCACATTTACGTTTCCATCATTTAAGTGTTAACGAAGAATGGAGACTTGACCCATTCATGTTCAAAATTCATTTTTTATAGCTCTAGTAAACCCATTTTCCACTAAATATGCTTGTAAATGTCAACTTTGAAATAAAGATTATGAAATAATAAGTCGTTCAGTAAAATAAAATGATAGAATGTTTTGAAGATGACATTACTGAGAACATGATTTCAGAAAAATATAACTTTTCTGTGAATTTTGAAATTTGAGAAACATTTAGTCTCAGAGCGGGGGATTGTCCACGCCTTATACGCCCTCTTTCTTTCTCATTACCTGTTTTTGAATTTCTTTTTTAGTCTCTCTGTTAAGCTCTTCACTTTTATTACTGGCCTCTCTGTTTAACAGCTCATGTTCATCACTGCATGCGCCGGTCTCTATTTTGGACACCTTATCCCCACCGGAGGTATTGGTCTCTTTTGATGATACGTCTTTATCATCACTGATGACACTTAAGTCTTTCTCTGATACTTCATTATCATCACTGCACTGAGTGTCACTTTCCTCAGACCTGAAGTCAAGGTCATCTATAATAGGACATACCTCCTCTGAGTTGTAACTTTCTGTTTTCGAGTCAGAGTTCCGATCTAAATCTTCTGATGTATTTTGGTCATTACTTTCTAAAATGTCATTTTTTGATAAATCTGTTTCTCGAGCATCACCTTCCTTGTCTGCAGGGATAACTTCGGTTCCATTTTCTTCCTGTAGCACGTCTACAACTTGTGAGGAAGATGAAACTGAACTTGTTTCCTCGTCATGGTTCGGATTATGTCCGTCGATATCATCTGCTTTGGAATCAGAAGTGTGATTCTGGCTCACTTCGTCGACATTAACGTTTTTAAGAAATTGATGTCCTGAACACAATTTCATTGTTTCTATTTTATTTTCTAGCGCAGACTCCTCTGTTGGCATCACATCACGTGAAAAATCTCCGTTAGGAGCGATCTTTGTTTTGGACACGGGATCCACAGAGGATCCCTCCGTTGAATCTCCCTCTGTTAAAAGAAATGGAGCCTAGCCCTTAAAGAGGAATGTGTTTCATAAAATAACCATAGATGGTTGAAAAATAGATGCATGATATAAATATATAGAATCCATAGAATTCTCCACATTTTGAAAACAAAATATCAAATTATAATATTGATGGTTTACAATATGAATGCTAGTAAAGGGAAAGATTTCATTGTTAAACATATAATGCTGATCTTCAGTATTCACCAACATTAAGTGTGTTGTGCTTATTTGGCACATTTTATTATACTTTATATAAGTATTGGAATATTATTTTTGTTTTTAGTTTATTTTTAAATGTCAAAAGGTTAATGCCTGCAAATACTCTTTAGTATTTTTATGTAGCATTTGCTTCTATCATTATGATTTCTTTGTAACATGAATGATAGAGCTTGCAATTATAGGTTTTTAAAATATAAAAAAATCATTTTGTTTTTATTTGAAAGTCATTATCATAGCGGGATTTCTCAAATTTATATTTTATGTAAGTTCAATTAATAAAAAGTCTGTTCAAATATTTAAAAAATGTCAGGAATTAAATTCATTCTGTCAACTTATTCTGTTTTCTTTAGAAATTTAAAATCCTTCATCAATAAAGAAGACGTTTAAAAAAGGCCTAACCATACGTCACAATGAAATCATTAGATACTGTTTTCATGGAGATGAATAAAAAAGTTTTGCTAAAAATTGGATACAAGATACGCAAGAATAGTAAAAAGTAGCAAAAAATACTAATTTTCCAATGGTTTCTATTTAAGAAATAGATCTGAAAATGGTATTTGTTAAGTCACCATGAAATAATTACATAATGTTTACGAATTCTACTCACCTTTTATTTCTGTTTTGCTGTCGTTATTACCCATTGCAATTTAACTAATGCTTCTCTTTGTCACCGTTTGTATCTCTAAGTTTTTCTTTACTTTAAAAGAGACGAGCAACATATCAGTGCAAAATGGTTATATCTAGGGTTCCTCAATTTGAGGAGTATGCATGTACTGCACAGAATTAAATTTAGATACAGGGAAGGAATCGATATCGTTTTCGTGACATACTACTTTCCGTTCCATTAGTTTAATTTTAATCTTGCATTGTATTTTTAAAAATTTAACTATACATTCAGAGTAGCGGACATAACATTATTAAAGTAACATTGCTTACATTAATATATACATTTTACCACAAGTAGTTTTAAGTCCTAGAGGCCAAAGCGAAAGTGAAACATTCATTGTTTTATAAATTAATATCGGGTATACATTTAATTTTAAGGTAAATTTACTATTTACAAATTCGAAGAACTTATCACATGAATACAAAAATATAAAACAAAACAAATCTATAAATTTTTATTATTGAAATTTCATGTAACTTTTCATTTTATTGAAAATGAAAGTAGACATTTAAGAACCTCATAACAAATGTCCAAAATTCCCCAGTGTACAAATAATCAAAAAGATTATGTATTATTGAAATAAAAAATGCCAAAATGAAATAAGAAATAAGTTTTAATGCTTAACCTTGCTGACTGTTGCTGTACTAATCAATCGGCTCCGAGTGATCTGTTGTCGTCCATGTTGGAAATGCCCAGATTCTAAAAATAGCTCCTAAAATTCTCTCTAGGAGGACATCGGAAAAATGAAAATTTGCAAGACTTTCACACCTAACTTTTAAATTTACAATTAATCGAGGGATCAAAGCATAATTTTCCCCAACGTATGATTTATGAGACCATGAATTTTGGTAGGTTTAGTGTAAATGTCAATTTAAAAATAAAGTACTTGTCCAAATAACCTCATGAGTGTCCAACGTATCAAATAACAAACGTTAAAAAATAATATAAATTATGCCTTTAATTATCAGAATAAAATTTTATCTTGATTTGTTAATGTACTTTTTAAAAAATATTTTATGAAATATTTGTAAATATTTTTTTCCTAATGTATTTATGTGGATGAAGAGGAGGTTTATAAACATCGCATTTACTCATCTTATACCAGGCTTGATTCTTACAGAAATAAAAAAAAGAAACATTGTTAACGATCTGAAAATGGGTATTTGTTATGTCAAATTAACAAAGTTCAATAAAAAATTCCTCAATTATCCTTACCGTCTAAACACGGCTAAAAAATTGCCGATTCGCCGCGTTAAACATTATATTACAATCCATCAATCAAATACATGTATCTTTGTTTGTTTTGAACATAGTTTATTGATATCAATCAAATGTATCTTTAACTTTGAATTAGTAGATAATTTTTCTTTTGCAATGCCTTAAGTTCAATACTTTGAAGGTTTTAAGTTAAACACTTTGTCCCAACAAAAGAGCAGTCAGCATATCGAGCATGCCAATCTACAGAGACGCTCTCCTTCTCGTCCATCATGACAATGTATCAGCGCTTGATAACAATTCCTGTATGGCCTTGGTGATGCTAGACTTATCAGCTGCGTTTGATGTGATCGATCATGCCATTTTACTCAGACGTCTCTGTTTCTCTTTTGGAATGTCTGGGACAGCTCTGGAATGGATAGAGTCCTACTTGACTCAGCGCACCAAAAGAGTGGTCATTGGTGGAAGTGCTTTCTAAGATCTTGTTTTGCGGTTCGGAGTACCACAAAAAAAATGCAAGGCTCAGTGCTTATTGCCTATTTTCGAAATTTACAGGTCAATTTTGTCATGATCATGGCATGCCGTTCCACTGTTACGCAGATGACACACAAATTTATCTTGATATAAATTATTATTTAAAATATAAAATATATATTTGATATAAATCACAAACTATTTGTAAAAACATGGATTAATAAAATCTTGTATCTGACTTGTATAAAATGTGACTTAAAATGTCGACTAGAAGCTTGTTTAGCTAAAGTGAGAAGCTGGATGTGCGCAAATCTACTAAAATTGAACCAGGATAAAACTGAGTTTATTGTTTTTACACCAAAGAGTCAGCTTAAAAGATCTTTTACACACCAAATTGATTTTGATTGTACTGTCATTTTTGAATCAGATTGCGTAAAAAAAATTAGGAGTGTTTTTCAACAAGTCACTTACAATGGAGAATCAGATTAGTGCAGTGTCCAAATCCTGTTTTACCACCAAACATGAACACACCAGTCTGAGGTCCTTATGTCTCTTCATTGACTACCAGTTAAATTTCGAACATATTACAAGAATCTTTTGTACACCTTCAAAGCACTCCAGGATACTTCACCATCATACCTAAAGGAACTTAGTAACAATCTATAAAACATAGAGAACAATACGCTCTGGTGACTCCATGCAACAGCAACATTGTGGAATGGTTTACCTGACGCTCTCCGGTTCTAGACGTCACTTTTAACTTTTAAACGGGATCTTAAGACTCATCTGTTTAAGATAGCATACAACGTGTAATTTTATTTTGAACAAATTATCAGTATTCATTTTTATTCTCAATTTAATTAAATTGGCAAAAATTTACACCAAACGCAGTATATTCATTCAGATTCAGGTCTTGAAGACTGAAAAAAAAGTTTTAATTATCGAGTTACATGTTATGTGTATCATTAGTATTAAATCAAATGAATGTTACGCAGATATTGTATTTTTGAATAACTGAGATATGTTCTTATTTTTATTTAAATGTAAATTTAATGACTGTTGTAAAAACAATGAAAACAGTAGTCCGTTTTAGCTACAAGAAACTTGAAATAAAAAATAAATGAATGATCGAATGAATAAAAAAGGACTGACAGACGGGAATATTATGTTTATGTCACTGTTACGAGTGTGAATTTTAAAAATGATACAAATCAGTTGGTATCGTTGTGATAGGGAAAAGAAACGTACCTCAGACTCTTGCCTTTCTGGCATATATATACCCTAGAAATTTCCCAATCATGTCAACATGGCCATGGTCAAGGACGAATTATTCTGGAGAATACGCGTATTTACGATATTTGTTGACTTAAACAACATTCAATGAATTTTTATAAGTTTATTTATTGATTGTTTTGACAAAAAAGAATGAACAGTGGGTATTCCTACGCCGTACAAAATAAATTGTATGGCGGCCTCAAAGGGAATAATTTTAATAATTTAAAAACGTAATTGGAATTATAAGAATTAAACTTGCAGGTAACAAATAATAAAAGGGCACTTTTAAGTTTGCAAAAAGGAGTTATCGAAATGTAAATTTAATCGTATGTATAGCATTATTCACTCTTGATTACATGATACAAATCAGTCTGTATATATATAATTCCCCAGATTGTAAACTGTCAAAAAGAATGAACGTTACAATCATAACTTTTGAATAACAACAATTGGCGGAAGATAACAATCATCTTTTAAATAAAAATGGCGAAGATAACCAGCAGTGATCTCAGTTGACCGCATTCTCTACGTTCGAACAATTTTTAAACGAGGCAAACTATTGACAAACAAGTTGATGAAATAATATGAACAGTCTTGTTTAAGTCATCAAAATTTATGGTCGAAACAATAAATTTGTCAGCAAAAAAATGTCAATAAGTCAAATGCTTACTGGCGTTTTCCACACTCAATTTTAGGCAATTATTTTCAAACTATTTTCCTGTCATTTCCCGACCATGGCAATACGCAGAGGGAGCACAGGCTGCTCACTCCTCCATGGCATCTGATACCACCTGTGATGTTTTTAGAGGTCCATTTTCCCTTGCATCGGATTTGCATTGTTTGAATGGACCCTCGTGCTTGATTGATGTCGTTATATCTATAAATTTCATTAACTACGATTTATGTGCGATACTTTGTGTAATTAAGAACTGGATTTTCTTTTAAGCTATTGACGTTTTTGTCACCGTAGTAAGAATTGGTGAAGAATGCGAAAATTTTGAATCTGAAAGGTATTGTTGTATTACTTTTGAGGAATGTAAAATCTCCAGAAAACACATTTTATTATTGCAAGACAATGCAACACTTAGGGTCTTTAGCATGTGACAATAACTATAAAGCAAAAAAACATTGCTACATTATATAATCATTGGGGGTCTAAGCTTTAAACTCTTAGGAAATTTTATACCTGAAAGGTAATAACTTAATGTCTCATTATATTCAATTATATCAACTGATTTGACGGAAGGAATTTCTATAATTTAGATAAATCCTGATTAATATTGTTTAAAAATACATGTATACGAAAAATGAAAGAAAGTGTAATCATTGAACAATTGTTTATTCAATAAATAAATAAATAAATAAATAAGAAAAAAGGAATTCAGTCACCATGGTTGCTAACTTATGAATATCACAGTCAACATCGATTACCGAGTATTTGTAACTAGATTTAGTAGGTCTGAAATGAAAAAATTACATATTTAAAACATTAACCAATATGTAAATATTCAAAATATAGTTTTTCTTTGTCAATGAAAAAAGTTGATCCGCGCCTGTCAACGAGATGTGATACGGCTCTTCGGATCAAGTTACTGTTTTTAGCAAAATATAGCAAAAGAAAACTTTAGAGATCAATTGCATAACATTTATCCATAAAACAAAGCATAATAACAAGGGACTTTTTACCGCAAGAAAAATAACGTCATATTTCTGCGTACTAGGTCATCAGTTTCAGAGAGTGGTGATGATCAGAAAACAACATGCTGGTGATCCGGAAAGACAGATCACGACGTCACGTGATAGCGTAAATTCAACAGTAAAATTGGGTGATACACATTAGGTATATAATAAAGTTTTTTTTATTGTCCATAAAAAAGTTGGTTTTCTTACCTTTCTACCAGGAACTATGTTGTTGATTCCAGATGCTCCCCTGATGATTCCATTATTGCTGAATCCTCGAGATCCTACAGCAGCAGATGAAGCAGCAGACGCACTGTTTGGAAAGGCTGAAGCAGCAGCCGCAGAAGATGCAGCGGTTTGACCGACAACAGGAAATTGAGGACGGTACACACCTTGGACTGGATGAATAACTGGACCCCCGATATTGCTGGGAAATTCCGGTTGAAAAACTCCTTCCATTCCAATTCCAGATCCGATGTTAGCAGCAGATGCAGCTGAAGCAGAACCACCCAAAGCAGCAGATGAAGCAGAAGCTGCAGCATTCTGACCTAGAACATGATTGGTAGGAAATTGAACACTTGGGAATGGTTGCAAAACTGGACCACCGACATTTCTTGTTAATTGGGATCCCAAGACAGCTCCTGTTCCAATTCCAGATCCAAGTGTGGCACCAGTTGCTAGTCCTGAAGCAGCTGAAGAGGCTGCAGCACCAATAGAGTTAGCTGAAGCAGAAGCTCCAGAGGACTGACCAAGAATCTGGTGGGTAGGATAATGTACGCTTGGGATTGGTTGCACCAGAGGACCAGATGGGTAATTGATGCTTGGAACCTGATGACCAATAGGTCCATTGTAAGGTGCCGTAGCTTGAAGTCCAGCATTTCCAAGGAAAGCAGTTCTCTCAGCGTCAGAGGTCACTGCTGTAGCAGTAGCTGCACCAGGGTTTACTCCATTAAATCCGAGTCCATTGTTCAAGCCTATTACTCCTGGGTGTCCAACAAACCCACCGTTACCAGAAACAGCGGAGGCGGAAGCAGACGCATCAAAACCACTTGCTGCGGTAGAAGAAGCTGCAGAGGCGGCGTTCCTTCCATCAAACCCTGTAAAGGCAGTGTTAAAACCATTGTTCCTGACGCTTCCAATAATTCCTTGTTGTTGAATAACGTGGGTTGCCTGGGAACATCTGAACTGTCCACATCCTGATTTTTGATAGTTATCTTTCGGAAGAGGGATTGCAATTGTGCTAGCAATGACACAGAAAACTGCAACAGCACGGAACATCTGTTAAATGAAGAATGTACAATAAATTTGTCAATTTTAAAATTAAAAACAATTTCAGGTAGTATCAATAAAAATAAAATGCTCAGATGCTTTGGGTGGAGTTAAAAAGATTAAATCAAAAGAAAGATAAAAAAGATAATAGAGAACCCAGAAACCAAAATGTCATCAAACACAAAGAATATTTAAAATGAAATTGATGACAATTTAAAAATATTTCCTTTACAGAAATCATAGATTAATTTGAGCTGTGTAAATTGGACATGGTATTTATGTTCATTGAAATTCCTTTAATTTTTGTTGCGTTTTAAAATTCACTTGAATTAAGTTCTCAAATATTTAAACTATGTAGAATTTTTTGTTGAATAATAAATCAGTATTTATGAAAAGAGAAAGGAATTATTTTTTAGTCCATAACTATAAAAATTGAATGATACAAGAATAATATTCATTACCTTTTGAAAAATAATTATTATTGACTTTTAATATAAAAATTTCACGACTAACGAAAAGAGGTCTATATGTATATAAAGTCACCCTTAACAAAATAATGCCTTACTTTTAACTAAGGACATTTCTTTCTGTGCTACAGTTGCTGCAAAATGTTGCATATTGAACTCTTACCTTGAGATTTGTGTATCTTTTACCGGAGTTGTGATCTTTACAGGAGTTGTGATTTTAATTGAGAAGTCAGTCTAATTTATACCTTAGGACGATGCATAATGCAGGAAGGAATGTAAATGCATGTGGTTTGATCTTTTGTGGTTACTCGGTAAAATTCGTTTTGCAATCACTGCAATAATTCAATTGGATAAGTTGGTTTAATGACTATTTAGGGATGACGTATTAATGTTATGTCTAAAATAATTTGCTTGTATAGAATACATGACTTAGTATATATATGTGTATACAGCATCTTTGGTGTTTGTTATTGTCCTTATTTGCTTGCATAAAATATATTGCAAATTTAAGATAAATTGATATTGTAGTAAATGTGTTTATCAACGATGTAAAGAAGAATTAATTTGATTAATATTGCAAAAGTTACAAATTAATAAAGGAATTTTCAAAGTATAATTTTCTCATTTTTATACGAATATTTAGTTACTATGCACTCACTTTGCAAATCCTAAGAAATGACATTTTGTATTTTTATTTCTTAACATATGTATTTAGAGATAAAGGAACAGAAGTGTGTCTGAAAATAACATAAATTATGATCTGAAAATTACATAAATTATATTAATAATTTTTAATAAGACTTACCTCTTTATCTTAATTACACTTAGTAGTGGAATAGAAGAAATTGTTTAGCAAGTTAAACAAATGACTAGAAAGTACGCAAATAAAGCATGCATATGTAAACAAAAACCAAAACACAACATAATTAAAATAATTCAATGTCAATATTTAAAATTTTATTCTGATTAACCAGTCACAAGAAAATTCTAGTAACAGAGTTTCAATTTTGAATTGGATAAGTTGAAAACTTTGAGTAAAAAATTTACAATTTTTAAAAGTATGGACAACAGCTTTAAAATGCATATATTTAAATTTTAAAAAAAAAGAAAAAAACGACAACACAAGTTGTAAAACGTTAGCGCTTTTAATTAGTTTTTATTCACAGTTCTTAAGCTTTGTCATAAATTTTAAGTTGAGTGACATAAAGAGAAGTTAAGAAATAAGTATCTGTACCCGAGGAAGAAATTCTGATATTCATGTGGTGTATTTTCAGACAGAAAAAACATTCCTTATTCCCTCTGAAGCATAGAAGAAAACATTCACCGATACAAATAAGTTTGTATATATCATGAAAGAATTAAAGAAAACCATGCTTGTTTTGTTTATTTCAATTATAATACAGAAACTTGCTTATTTTTTTTTTAAAGATTTAAAGATCTGGCAACTGGATCATGAAACAAACCTAGACTTAAGTCCAATTTTCAATCACTTACAAAATATTTATACAATTATGGAATTTATATCTAAATATGAAGCAATACATTGAAAATATTTTAATTCTGGTCTGCTTGAATTTAATTATAAAATATAGATTTCGACTTAAGCTTAAAATGTTTCATGATTCCAGGGGCATGAATTGAAATGATGAAGAGTTGAGGATATAAAAATAACACGCTGATTTGACATTTTATCAAAATTCCAATTTTAAGCAAGAACTTTTGTCATATGTCTGACGTTTCTTCAGTCATGTTCTGAAGAAACCAGTCATTCATTGTTGAAGATAATTACGCTTTGAGGTCAGCGTAAATACCTACCTTGTTAATTAATTTATTCATCAATTTATTCTTCGAAATTTACTTTAGAATTTGAAATGTGATCGTTTGAAAAACTATCATTTACGAATAAGCTTGAAAGATAAACTTTTAATCATTTTGATTGATTTTTCTTTTTCAACATAAACACTTAGTTTTATTGGTTAATACCGGAGTATTCCTCAGTTTCAATGAGGTTTCAAAAAGAATTCATTTATCAGATTGCAACAATGACAAATGTGTAACTTTAGAATAAAACTGATCCTTTTTACTGTTCTATTTTAATAATATTATAAAAAGACAGATTTCAAAATAAATAAAAAAAAATATTTTTTATTTTTTTCTTCTTATTCACGTAACTTCTCCACAAAATTTAAATTGAAATAAAACATTTTAGATTTTCAATAAAAGGAAATTTTTTTGTCAAAGATCAACATGGACAATGAATTCACAAAAAATTAAATGATTTTGTAACTTTAATTAAACAGTTATGCAAATTTCTTGCAATTAACTTTAATTTCTATTTCTGGATTAGTATATACTTTACGAAATTCACCCTCTGTAGTATGAAATAACCAATTAATTGAGAGGCAGGAAGAGAAGTGAGAAAATACGTCAGTTGATTAGGAAACAATCATTAGAATATCACCGAGTACACAAATGCATTTATCAACAAAATGATGTACAAAATAGGGGATTTTACTGCCAAAAGGATTGTGAGAAAGTTTAATTGCAATTATTTCATTCCTTTTTTAATGCGTGCACGAGTTACGATGTTTTTCTCCTTCAAACCTTACCCTTTATTTTTTAATCTTAATTTTATTAAAATTATATCAAGAATGCAAAATACTTTTTTGTGGATTGCTCCATTGAAACTCACAGGAAACAAAAAACAAAAAACTCAAATTCAAAGTAACCAATACTTTTCAAGCACTTTTTCGCCACCGGATTAGTCAAACAGAAAACATATACGAGGGGTTATCAAAAAGTTCGTGAACTGAGGCTATAAAATTAGTACTATGTAGTCTGTGCTTTCAAAATATATATGGAACATAAAACAACAAAAAATAAAGAAATGTTGAAAATTTTAGCTTGATACGTTCATTATTTTCCAAATTATTATAAAATAAAAACGACATTATATGATCACCCAGCGCTGTCGTCGTTTATTTTCATGACGTCCAACAACGTCATTGTTTATTACAATGTCCTCTTCTTCTACCTCATGCACTTTTTTGGATGAGATTCCCTGGAGCTGAGTAAGGACTTAAACCCGCCTTGTTATTATGACTCTACAATGTCATGAACAGCGGCTTTCGATAAATATAATATTCCAAATGGATTTATCCATTGGGAGGGATCATCGCTTGATTGTGCCAGTATACTCTACTTTTGAGAGTTCAATATCTACAACACATGATCAACGTTATTTTTTGACGCGATCGATTTTTCAAACCTTGACAACAAATCGACATTAACTGTGTATCCCTTTTCTCTCTGAATATATTTTGACATTAAAAGGCAAGTATTCTGGATGCATATTATTTCTCTGTAGCCAGTTTAAACATTTCTTAGGTCTATACCATTTTTTCAGGGGCAAAACTTGATAAAATGTGTGAAAAAGAAACCCCTCTCCCCTTTTGACGTCATTTTCAAGGCCTCATTTATTTGGACTTTCCATTTACGATAAAATTTCATAGAACTTACAAAATGAAGTGAAAATTTCATATTTTACCGAAAAATTGCGTCCCGACACATACCTGAATTAACGGGATTTTTGGTTGTCAAATGTTCAATCAAAAGAGTTTTTTTTCTCAGTTACACATAGGTTGCAAAAACGTCGTGTTCGAGGTTGCACCGCCTGGACATACCACTGCTTACAAAAACATTACTAATTTATCAAAAAATGAAATTAATGATTTATTCTTTAGATAGAAAAGATGATGCTAACTAGATATTTAAAAATTCACTGATGTGCCTAAAGCTGTTTTAATTTTATAGCGCTACTCCACGAACTTTTTGAGAACCCCTCGTATATACGTGTACAGCTTGTACAGTATAGAGACATCATTTTTGCATATTTGCAGTCAATATAAACGTATTGCAATCATGGTATGACTGACGGAAGTCCACTGGGTCTAGGAATTGAATTGCAAAGAGAATAAAAAAGCAACATGTTGCTGCGCAGTTTCCTTTTTTTTTTTACTTTTTCACCAAAAATCATTTTTCAGTTGTCATAGAGTAACCTGAATGGATTCCAACCAACCACGACAGTGACGTTTGCGCTTAACAACGTCATATCAAAAAATGGCATTTCATCATATGACCTTGGTAATCATCAAGGCATTACAAATATTAATACACTGTGATTGACAAGACCATTATTACATCAGATTAATACACCAGTGATTGACAAGACTTTCTTACAAATATTCACATTTACCATATTAGCTGGATTCTGTAAATGCTATCATTTTTCTTCAAAATCAAAGTGGAATAAACTTGGCCGTATTGTTTTAAGGCCTTAGAATGCTACAACTACTTTCGACCAACGAAGGGCTACCCTAAAGGCTGATTTTAATCTCTACAAAAAAGATAAATTAATGCACTGATGAACTCCATGATAGGTGAATTAAGGCTGTAACAGATGCGCAAGAAAAATGATGACAATTTTATTTTCACAATTAAACCCGAAGGTGTTTCCATTTTATCTATTTTCCCATGATATGTCAACAACAGCAAAGTGATTAACTACGATATATGTATGATACTTTGTGTAATTAAGAAATGGATTTTCTTTTAAGCTATTGACATTTTTGTCACCGTTGTCAGAATTGGTGAAGAATGCGAAAATTTTGAATCTTAAAGTGTAAATTTTGTTGTATGATTCTCTCTTGATTACCTGGAATTGTATAAATCTCCAGAAAATTATTATTGAAACAAGACACTTGCAAGATACTTTAAGGGTTATCAAAATTATGATTTCAAGAAGCATGAACTTGTATGTTACAATAAACTTTAAATAAAAATGGCGAAGATAACCAAAAGTTGACCGCATGCTCTACGTTCGAACAATTTTTAAACGAGGCAATCTATTGACAAACAAGTTAATGAAACAATATGAACAGTCTTGTTTAATCATTTAGTCACATGCTTACCAGCGGGTCTAAACTTTAAACTCTTTGGAAATTTTATACCTGAAACGTAATAACTTAATGTCTCATTATATTCAATTATATCAACTGATTTGCCGGAAGGAATTTCTATATTTTAGAAAATTCCTGATCAATATCGTTTTTAAATACATGTATACAAAAAATGCAAGAAAGTGTAACCATTGAACAATTATTTATTCAATAAATAAATAAGACAAAAGGAATTCAGACACCATGGTTGCTAACTTATGAATATCACAGTCAACATCGATTATCGAGTATTCGTAGATTTAGTAGGTCTGAAATGAAAAAAAATACATATTTAAAATATTATTTATAAATATTCAAAATATAGTTGTTGTTTTTTTTTTTTGGTCAATGAAAAAAGTTGGTTTTCTTACCTTTCTACCAGGAACTATGTTGTTGATTCCAGATGCTCCCCGGATAATTCCATTATTGCTGAATCCTCGAGATCCTACAGCAGCAGATGAAGCAGCCGACGCACTGTTTGGAAAGGCTGAAGCAGCAGCCGCAGAAGATGCAGCGGTTTGACCGACAACAGGAAATTGAGGACGGTACACACCTTGGACTGGATGAATAACTGGACCCCCGATATTGCTGGGAAATTCCGGTTGAAAAACTCCTTCCATTCCAATTCCAGATCCGATGTTAGCCGCAGATGCAGCTGAAGCAGAACCACCCAAAGCAGCAGATGAAGCAGAAGCTGCAGCATTCTGACCTAGAACATGATTGGTAGGAAATTGAACACTTGGGAATGGTTGCAAAACTGGACCACCGACATTTCTTGTTAATTGGGATCCCAAGACAGCTCCCATTCCAATTCCAGATCCAAGTGTGGCACCAGTTGCTAGTCCTGAAGCAGCTGAAGAGGCTGCAGCACCAACAGAGTTAGCTGAAGCAGAAGCTCCAGAGGACTGACCAAGAATCTGGTGGGTAGGATAATGTACGCTTGGGATTGGTTGTACCAGAGGACCAGATGGGTAATTGATGCTTGGAACATGATGACCAATAGGTCCATTGTAAGGTGCAGTGGCTTGAAGTCCAGCATTTCCAAGGAAAGCGTTTCTTTCAGCCTCAGAGGTCACTGCTGCAGCAGTAGCAGCACCAGAGTTTACTCCATTAAATCCAAGTCCATTGTTCAAGCCTATTACTCCAGGGTGTCCAACAAACCCTCTGTTACCGGAAACAGCGGAAGCGGAAGCAGACGCATCAAAACCACTTGCTGCGGCAGAAGAAGCTGCAGAAGCGGCGTTCCTTCTATCAAACCCTGTAAAGCCGGCATTAAAACCATCGTTCCCGATGCCCCCAATAATTCCTTGTTGTTGAATAACGTGGGTTGCCTGGGAACATCCGAACTGTCCACATCCTGATTTTGGATAATAATCCTTTGGGACAGGGATTGCAGAAATGCCAGCAAAAACAGAGAGGATAACGACAGGGTGGATCATCTGACAAACGACACAGAAATTTCTTAATTACCATTTTACATCAAATTTGTATATTGCTGTCGTAAATTGGACTGATATTTATATTCTGGGTTCTTTTTTAAGAACGGAAAACAAAAGGATAATTGTTTTTACAAACTTATTACAAATCATTTAAATTGAATAAAAGTTAAAAGAAAAATATATGGAAAGAAAAGAAATATTTTTAAGATGAAGATTCAAAAGACAAAAAGTCAAGGAAAGCTATATTTCTACAAAGGGACAAAATAGGGAATAAAAGATCATCTTGTATTGTTTTATTACTCTATTGAATTGAACAATCTTTAAATTTGAAATGGTTTTTGAGCCATATAAGTGTAATTACTATACTTATTTAATTTAAATATTCTCAAATTGTCAGAAGTATTATGATTAATGATTGGAAATAAAATTTTGAATGATTAATTTGTAAAAATGGATATTTGTATAGCACAAAATTGATACAGATATTGCATCATTCAGCTTATAAATGCAAATTTGTTTCCATTTTCATGTTTAAACATTTACTTTCATGGCCCGATCAAAGAAAACACCGCTCAAAATTAAACTGTTATACGTTCTTGAGTTTTTTTTTTATAAAGAGCTTAAAAATATGCCTTTGTGATTTCTATAGTTACAAAATATTCAATTCCTACCTTGAGAGCGATACTTGGCTAATTGTCAGAACCTTGAGGATAACTACTGTTCATCTATAACTGTGTCTTATTTATACTAACTGGTAGCTACGTAATAAGGAAGACAATTCGTGAGGTTTGAACTTTGGTGATTACTCTGTTAAATTTAATTTGATATCATTGGATCGTTTAGATTAGATGATTAGGTCATTTTGGTGTAGTTATGGGTTGGATTATTCCATCTATGTTCAATTATATCATGTCTTCACGAAAGAAACCAAGTTATTTGTTATTTTAAATTAAAAAAAGAAAATGATAATATTCAGTTTTAAAACAAAGTATATAAAACATAGATGATAACAAAATTTTCATTGAGTTTATATATCAACATATGAGTAAATTGATAAAACTCTCTCAGGTTTTGATTACAAAATAAAAATAGAAATCAGATTATATTTCTCGGTATAATTTGAAAATGAAGAATCAGATGCATGTTATTATACATATTGGCATTTATATCTCTGACTTCTGAATTAACTGTAAATCTAGATGAAAATTAATGCGGAACGTTTAAATCATGTCGATTGATATTTGTATTAACAGCAATATATATTTTCAAGAATTTTCTTTACTATTTGTTGAAAGATTTGTCACATTCACTAAATCAAATTAAATATGACTTTTTGTGTCAAACACTAACATTTCTATCATTTTACTCTTTAATTGCCAGTATATAATTGTTTGTGCCCTGCTTTGATAGTTTTTTGTTGCTTTTATTTCAAATGTTAGTCAACGATATTTAGTAAGAATATTAGCCCTTCAAAAAGGAAAGGAGATTCACGAGAAGTGTGTCTTTAAAAAAAATTGGGAGATTAGGGGACTACGTTTCGTTGTGACGCGGCGACATCCCCTATGCTTTTTTTAAACATAACTCATTTTAATAAAAAAGGAAAGGTATATAAAATATTGGAATACTCAGCTGATTCAATTTTAATAAAAAATTGCTATCGAGATGTTTGAAAAACAGTGTTTGCCTAGGAACATTAACACACGAGGAAACACCAGAAAATTGACAAAAACATCCAAATAGGGAAAAAGAACAATTAATAGGGCCGTCTGATGACAGAAAATGATATGTTTTAACATTATGTTGGCAATTGTACTCTGAAAGCGAACATGATATTTTAAGGTATGCAAATTGATTCACGATGACTCCTTAGTTTTTTTTTTTATCATAATTTTAATAAAATTATATCACGAATGCAAAATACTTTTTTGTGGGTTGCTCCATTGAAACACCCATGAAAAAAACCCTCAAATTCAAAGTAACCAATACTTTTCAAGCACTTTTTCGCCACCGGATTAGTCAAACATAAAACATATATATACGTGTACAGCTTGTACAGTGTAGAGACATCATTTTTGCATATTTGCAGTCAATATAAACTTATTGCAATCATGGTATGACTGACGGAAGTCCACTGGGTCTAGAAATTGAATTTTATAAGAGAATAAAAAGGCAACAACATGTTGCTGCGCAGTTTCTTTTCTTTTTTTTTTTTACTTTTTCACCAAAAATCATTTTTCAGTTGTCATAGAGTAACTTGAATGAATTCCAACCAACCATGACGGTGACGGTGACGCTTAACAACGTCATATCAAAAAAGGGCATTTCGTCATGCGACCTCGGTAATCATCAAGGCATTACAAAGAGATCGATATTAGTACACTTTGATTGACAAGACCATTATTACATCAGATTAATACACCAGTGATTGACTTTCTTACAAACATTCACATTTACCATATCAGCTGGATTCTGTAAATTCTATCATTTTTCCTCAAAATTAAAGTGGGATAAACTTGGCCGTATTGTTTTAAGGCTTTAGAATGCTACAACTACTTTCGACCAACGAAGGGATACCCTAGGGGTTGAATATAATCTCTATGAAAAAGATAAATGCACTGATGAACTCCATGCACAAGTGAATTAAGGCTGTAACAGATGCGCAAGAGAGATGATGACAATTTTATTTTCACGTTTGGGGCTACCGACTCGATATTTAGACACATCGACGAGGTATTGTCAATTATTAATGGTTATTTCTATTCTTATATCGATACGGTATATCCCGATGAGCTTGAGATCAATGATATCACAGAGTCTGACACATCTGTAAGATATTTGGATATTTTACTTGAAAAAGACGTTAATGGTAATCTTAACTTTTCAATCTTCAACTTCCTTACTTATCCAGAAATATACCTTCAACACTTGCATACGGAGTTTATATCTCTCAGTTGATTCGATACGCAAGAGCATGCTCTACGTATGAACAATTTCTAAAACGAGATAAATTATTGTCAAACAAGTTGATGAAACAAAAATATAGGCAGTCTCATTTAAAGTCATCATTACGTTGTTTCTATGGTCGATACAATTACCTTGTCCGCAAATACAAGTAATCATCGATTCAAATGCTGACTGGCGTGTTTCATACTAATTGTTAGTCCATTATTTACACACTGAATTGACGACAGATTTTTCCATTATTTCCCGATCATGTCAAGTAGCTCACGGCGGGTGTGACCGGTCGGCAGGGGATGCTCACTCCTCCCTGGCACCTGATACCACCTTTAATGTTTTGGAGGTCCGTGTTTGCTTTGCTCCTATTTTGTCTTGTTTTATGGGCTTTTGAGCTTGAATAATTTTTGTTATCTCCATCACAGGCACTTGTTTCGGGAATAAATTTTAACCCATAGTATAATAAAAACACATGGTATCTAACTCCAAATTACACGTAGTACCCCCTCCCTTGGAATCGCTCTCATTTACACTTTCAGAGAAAAGGCAGTGGCAAACTGTTTATACCTATGTCATCTTTTGTTTTCTCTAATCTCCGTAATTAGCGTCAAAACGCCGAGTAGAAAATTCGAACTAAACCATAAAACGGTATGTCCTAATCTCAGGCAAAGAGAAAAATTAAAAAATGCGTGGGTTTAAAAATTCAATTCCAGATTTTAAATATTGCATTGAATAAATAAAATTTCATAGTGTCTTATTTTCCATGAAAACACTACGATGTTTTCCGATGTCATTTGAGAAACAGATTTTTAGCCAATCAAATTCGGGGTCTAATTCTTTGCCCGAGACTAGAACATACCATGCTATGGTTGAGTTTCACTTTCCACTTGGCGAACAGAGTTTTGAAGCTGATTACGGAAATAAAAGAAAATAAAGACAAGCATGTCAGATTTGGTTGTGTAGATAAATTATCATAGAAGACATAGGTATAAACAGTTTACCCGTGCATTTCCTCTGAAAGTGTAAATGAGCGCGATTCTAAGGGAGCCGGGGGGGGGGGGGGGTACTCGGTGTAAATCGGCGTTAGATACCTTCTTATACTATGGGTCAAAAATTTATTACAGAAACAAGTGCCTGTGATCTCCATAAATTTCATCTGAATACACGCATATTTAATGAAATACGTTTTACACCAAATATTGCCATTTTGTATGACTCGTTGTTATCTGCATATCCTTCTTAAATTAATCTAAGGGTGTAAAAAGATGCATGTTTCTGAAATACTGGTGCTCCTATGGCAGCTTATTGCCACATTGAAAAATTAGGGTTAAACGACAAGGCTGAGGTCATGATTTCAAAATGTTGAAACAAAAAGAAAGATACTATCGCAAAGAATGCACATGTAAAATAAAATACCTAACAGCAGCAGTTTAGAATTTAAGAACGATGTTATTTATACAAAGTTAGTCGAAACCCGAAGTGATCTTGTAATTGATGATATAATATGAACTGAGTATGCGCTGTAAAGACATACTTGTTTTCCTTCGATAAAGAGAGTATGTCTAAATCAAAATCCAATGAACCAAACGATGCACAAAAAAGTGATGCATGGAATTAAAAGCAAAGAAAAGGGAGAGTTTAAAGTAATATTTAAAGCAAAAATTCAACGTTAAAATGGGTTTCTTTTCCAACCTGATTAAGATAAACAAATTTAAATCAAATCTGGAAATGTGTCACATGAATTAAATTTCTGTAGATTTATTGGATGCAGAAATGTAGTCTTGAGAGTACAGATTATGCTCTGATTATGAGGTTAACCATGATCCAAACATCGACCTGAAAATGAAAGACTGGAAACCAATTCCAATTAAACCCGATGATGTTTCTATTTTATTTATTTTTCCATGATATGTCAACAACAGCAGTGTGATGTATAAGGTGCAGACTTGTTCTGCATATTTAACTTAAAAACAAAACTTTGTTCTTAAAATGGATTTTTCCGAAGAAAATACCGGTAGTTTCCGAAATTTACGCCAAACGCAGTACATGCATATTCATTCAAATTCAGGTCGCAAAGACTGAAAAAAAGTTTTAATTATCGAGTTACATGTTATATGCATCTTTAGTATTTAATCAAATGAATGTTAAACAGATATTGTATTTTTAAATAGCTAAAATATGTTACTATTGTTATTTATGAGTAAATCTAATTTTATATATAGTATTAATATCTTTTGATTACCTGATACAATTCAGTCTTCATATCTACTAGTAATTCCCCATTGTGATTGTAAATCTGTTTCTTCCATTGTCAAAAAGAATGAACAGTGATCAGAAACAAATGGGCACTTGCAGGTAACATAATGGAAAGTTTGAGGAGTTGTCGAAATGATAATCTCAAGAATTGTCAACATAACCAAAACGTGTACGTTACAATCATCTTTTGAATAAAAAAGGCGAAGAAAACCAGCAGTGATCTCAGTTGACCGCATGCTCTGCGTTCGAACAATTCTTAAGGTCATTAGCAACGCAGGGTTTCCGGAGAAAAAGAGGTTTGATAATAGGTTTCTTCACTTATAAAAATAGTCATCGAGAGTGATCTCCGGTATGGAATTCTCTAGGCGATGAAAAGAAATAAAGCGTATGTTACAGACTGAGAGGTAAACAAAAGCACGTATTTTATTTTTTTATCGGATATAATCAACTCTACAGTGATAAAAGGAAAGCAACGATGGGTTTGTTTGCCCTTGAGAGGGCAGACATCAACAGGTCTTCCTTTAGAATAGGTACATGTATGCTGAGAAGGGCAAAGATTTGACATAATTATGCTGAAAGTGGTGATAGCTACAGTGTAGGTAGATTGGATGAGAACGGTTCCATGGGTTATGTGAAGGAGGGACCGTTAAAAAAAATAAGAATAATAAATCCATTCCAAAATATGTTATGACAGTTTGTATCCAATAAAGTAAGTTATAGAATAGAAACAAACAACCAGTCTCTTGATTATTATGAATAATATTCAGATGTTAACAGAAGTAACTCAAAATTAAAGAACAGTGCTGGTATTTCTGTGCCTTGTTTCTATATTTGCATTTTTAACCAAAGTATATGCATGTCATCGGGAATGAGGATACAACAATGTATTTTATTTATGAACTTTATGAAATAAATGGGTTTAAGAGAAAGTGTATGGTTAAAAATAATATAGGTCCATTTTATCAACATTTTACATAGAAAATGTATTGAGAATTGTCAAAACATTGATTCGACAAAATATATTAAGAAGGACTGGCTTGATGGGTTAAAAGACCTGAATTAAACATGTTTGGTACCATTAAACCTGTACAAAAGTTCCTAAAAATTCTATACGAAAACCAAAAACGTTGCCAATGTCCTTAAACGAGGCAAACTACTGACAAACAAGTTGATGAAACAATATGAACAGTATTGTTTAAGTCATCAAGTTTCAAGATCGAAGCAATGAATTTGTCAGCATAAAAAAACCTGGAGTCAAATGCCTACTGGCATTTTCCACACTCAGTTTTAGGCCATTATTTTCACACTGAATTGTGATTTTCCCGTCATTTCCCGACTATGGCAATAAGCAGAGGGAGCACAGGCTGCTCACTCCTCCATGGCACCTGATACCACCTGTGATGTTTTTAGAGGTCCATTTTGCTCTACATACGATTTGCATTGTTTGAATGGACCCTCGTTCTTGATTAAGGTCGATATCTCTATAAATTTCATTAACTACGATATATGTATGATACTTTGTGTAATTAAGAACTGGATTTTCTTTTAAGCTATTGACATTTTTGTCACCGTTGTCAGAATTGGTGAAGAATGCGAAAATTTTGAATCTGAAAGGTATTGTTGTATGACTTTTAAGGAATGTAAAATCTCCAGAAAACACATTTTATTATTGCAAGACAATGCAACCGTTAGGGTCTTTAGCATGTGACAATCGCTATAAAGCAAAGTACTTTGCTATATTATTTAACTATATATCACTTGCGGTCTAAGCTTTAAACTCTTTAAACTCTTTGGAAATTTAAAACGTAATAACTTAATGTCTCATTATATTCAATTATATCAACTGATTTGCCGGAAGGAATTTCTATATTTTAGAACATTTCTGATCAATATCGTTTTAAAATACATGTATACAAAAAATGTAAGAAAGTGTAACCATTGAACAATTATTTATTCAATAAATAAATAAATAAATAAGACAAAAGGAATTCAGACACCATGGTTGCTACTTATGAATATCACAGTCAACATCGATTGCCGAGTATTCGTAGATTTAGTAGGTCTGAAATGAAAAAAATACATATTTAAAATATTATTCATAAATATTCAAAATATAGTTTTTCTTTGTCAATGAAAAAAGTTGGTTTTCTTACCTTTCTACCAGGAACTAAGTTGTTGATACCAGATGCTCCCCGGATAATTCCATTATTGCTGAATCCTCCAGATCCTACAGCAGCAGATGAAGCAGCCGACGCACTGTTTGGAAAGGCTGAAGCAGCAGCCGCAGAAGATGCAGAGGTTTGACCGACAACAGGAAATTGAGGACGGTACACACCTTGGACTGGATGAATAACTGGACCCCCGATATTGCTGGGAAATTCCGGTTGAAAAACTCCTTCCATTCCAATTCCAGATCCGATGTTAGCCGCAGATGCAGCTGAAGCAGAACCACCCAAAGCAGCAGATGAAGCAGAAGCTGCTGCATTCTGACCTAGAACATGATTAGTAGGAAATTGAACACTTGGGAATGGCTGCAAAACTGGACCACCGACATTTCTTGTTAACTGGGATCCCAAGACAGCTCCCATTCCAATTCCAGATCCAAGTGTGGCACCAGTTGCTAGTCCTGAAGCAGCTGAAGAGGCTGCAGCACCAATAGAGTTAGCTGAAGCAGAAGCTCCAGAGGACTGACCAAGAATCTGCTGGGTAGGATAATGTACACTTGGGATTGGTTGCACCAGAGGACCAGATGGGTAATTGATGCTTGGAACCTGATGACCAAAAGGTCCATTGTAAGGTGCAGTAGCTTGAAGTCCAGCATTTCCAAGGAAAGCGTTTCTTTCAGCGTCAGAGGTCACTGCTGCAGCAGTAGCAGCACCAGGGTTTACTCCATTAAATCCAAGTCCATTGTTCAAGCCTATTACTCCTGGGTGTCCAACAAACCCTCTGTTACCAGAAACAGCGGAAGCGGAAGCAGACGCATCAAAACCACTTGCTGCGGCAGAAGAAGCTGCAGAGGCGCCGTTCCTTCTATCAAACCCTGTAAAGCCAGCATTAAAACCATCGTTCCCGATGCCCCCAATAATCCCTTGTTGTTGAATAACGTGGGTTCCCTGTGAACATCCGAACTGACCACATCCTGATTTTGGATAATAATCCTTTGGGACAGGGATTGCAGAAATGGCAGCAAAAACAGAGAGGATAACGACAGGATGGATCATCTGACAAATGACACAGAAATTTCTTAATTACCATTTTACATCAAATTTGTATATTGCTGTCCTAAATTGGACTGATATTTATATTGTGGGCTCTTTTTTAAGAACGGAAAACAAAAGGATAATTGTTTTTATAAACTTATTACAAAATTGTTTAAATTGAATAAAAGTTAAAAGAAAAAAAAAATACTTTTAAGATGAAGATTCAAAATACGAAAAAGTCAAGGAAAGCTATATTTCTACAAAGGGACAAAATAGGGAATAAAAGATCATCTTGTATTGTTTTATTACTCTATTGAACTGAACAATTTTTTAATTTGAAATGGTTTTTGAGCCATAATAGTGTAATTACTATACTTATTTAAACATTCTCAAATTGTCAGAAGTATTATGAAAAATGTTTGGAAATTAAATTTTGAATGATCAATTTGTAAAAATGGATATTTGTATAGCACAAAATTGATATAGATATTGCATCATTCAGCTTATAAATGCAAATTTGTTTCCATTTTCATGTTTAAACATTTACTTTCATGGCTGACCCGATCAAAGAAAACGCCGCTCAAAATTAAAGTGTTATAAATTCTTGAGTTTTTTTTATATAGAGCTTAAAAATATCCCTTTGTGATTTCTATAGTTACAAAATATTCAATTCCTACCTTGAGAGTGATACTTGGTTAATTGTCAGAACCTGTGGATAAGTACTGTTCATCTAAAACTGTGTCGTATTTATACTAACTGGTAGCTACGTAATAAGGAAGACAATTCGTGAGGTTTGAACTTTTGTGATTACTCAGTTAAATTTAATTTGATATCATTGGATCGTTTAGATTAGATGATTAGGTCATTTCGGTGTAAATATGGGTTGGATTATTCCATCTATGTTCAATTATATCATTTCTTCACGAAATTAGAGAGACACCAGGCTATTTGTTATTTTAAATTAAAGAATGAAAATGATAATGTTCAGTTTTAAAACAAAGTATATAATACATGGATGATAACAAAATTTTCATTTAGTTTATATATCAACACATGAGTAAATTGATAAAACTCTCTCAGGTTTTGATTACAAAATAAAAATAGAAATCAGATTATATTTCTCGGTATAATTTGAAAATGAAGAATCAGATGCATGTTAATATACATATTGGCATTTATATCTCTGACTTCTGAATTAACTGTAAATCTAGATGAAAATTGATGCGGAACGTTTAAGTCATGTCAGTTGATATTTCTATTTTCAGCAGTATATATTTTCAAGAAATTTCTTTACTATTTGTTAAAAGATTTGTCACATTCACTAAATCAAAGTAATATGACGTTTTGTCTCATTTCTATCATTTTACTCTTTAATTGCCAGAATATAATTGTTTATGCCTTTCTTTGATAGTTTATATTGTTATGTAGTTTTATTTCAAATGTTAGTCAACGATATTTAGTAAGAATATGGGGAAGAGATTCAGGGAGTAATTTTTCGCCCATTAAAAAGGAAAGGTATATAAAACATTGGTATGCTCAGCTGATTCAATTTTAATAAAAACGAATTGTTATCGAAATATTTGAAAAACAGTGTTTGCCTAGGAACATTAACACACGAGGAAACACCAGAAAATTGACAAAAACATCCAAATAGGGAAAAAGAACAATTAATAGGGCTTGTTGATGACTAAAAATAATATGTTTTAACAGTATGTTGGCAATTGTATTCTGAAAGCGAACATGATATTTTAAGGTATGCAAATTGATTCACGATGACTCCTTGTGATGTTCACTTTCTGACGAAATAGTCATTCATTGATAGAAAGAAGTAAACTTTGTGGTCTGAGGTTAAAGAAGGCAGATATTCCATTAAATACTTTCCTTGTCACATTTAAGGTTACTCAACATTCAAATAGTGAAATAACTTAATCAGCAATAAAGCTCTAGACATTCTATGTAAATAGTATGTGTCAATAGAAAAATCAATTAAGAAATCCCCAAACCTTCAGGAAAAAAAGAAGAAAATAAACCCAAATAATATTGCTTAGTTTCTTAAACAGCTAACTTCTGAATTGAACTACATCTTCTCAACATAAATAGTTTTCCCGATGACAAAACCTATGTCAAAATGTATCCCTTTTTCGACTGGACAGCCAGTCATGGTATTTATTGAAACACAACAAGCAAACATCAATACTAAAGATAATCACAATTCAACTTATATTTAAACAGTAAAACCTTAAACTTAAAAAAAATTATGTTCAACTAGAAACCATTTATATTTTCTACAATATTAAAACTAAAATATACAGAATAAAATGTAAATTTAATTCTTTAACATGCTAAAATTAAATTTAAAGTTGTGGTAACGTGATTGATTTGTTTGTTTTCAACACATGGAACTTGTCATTTACCAGCAATTTGTTCGGGAATAAACACAATATTGATAATAAAAAAAAACCCATGGTTGTCGACTCTCCTGATTTTATATGTTATGCTGTTTTATGTCCCATCCGAAATTTTTTCACCATTGTATACAATAAAAAATTCATTATTTCACGCAATATTTTATTTTTGACATAAAAGCTGTTCATTCTATTTGCATAAACACCATTACTAAGGCGTTTAGGTGCGCAGTGTTTAGAAGGTTTTTAATTTGTAAAATAACTTAATCAAATAATTATCTGAAGGATCGAGAAAATATAAATCGAACACTAAATAATGATCAATCAGATATTCTCAACTACAGGAGTACATTTGGCACTATATCTCACAGTAAATCATAATTAATGAATTCATATGATAAAAATAGATTAATGCATGGTAGTAAATGAAAATTAATTTGAATAAATTAAATTAAAACTTCACTCTCTCTCTATTTTTTCCTTCGCGGGGAATACTAGCTTATTGCCGATGACCCTTTATGTAAGACTACATGATTTATAGACATTTGTTCTCGCTTCATTTGCATAAATTACTTCTTGGTTGCCAGTCACATTACTTGTCGTTAAACTCTAAGCCAATGTCACTCAAAATTATTAGCTCCGCCTAATCCAATAGGGCGTCTTCAAGAAGTGTATTTGAAATCACTCATCTTGGCAATAACAAAATATTTGAATTAATTCACATGTATTTCTGATCACTCAATATGATTATTTTATATCATATCTGAACTTATTTAGGCCTATAGAATATTGATTATCTCGAAGAATAAAGCGATACAGTATTTTAAACAATTAAATCTCAATATTATAACATTTTAAAAATCCCCTCAGATATATTTAAATTGGTAAATGCCCTTTTCATAACAAAACGATGATGATTATCAAGACATTTTGGAATAATCTAATGAAGTCATATATCATTTATTTATTATTTCTCTGAAGCTCAGAGAACTTCTAGAAAATATTTTGCTGATCTTGTCAATTCTTCATCATGTATGCAGATTGCGTAACAAAGAAACTCTTAGTGAATCTGGTAACCTCATTTAGCGACGAATAATTCTTTCCTCAGAAGGTGAAAAACACAAGGAAAAACGTTATTATGCATGACTGAAAAAATTGTATTCCCTTTTAAATAACAATTACCGAAGTGTCAAAAGGCATGATTTTTAAATTATAATGTGATTGTATTATATTCTCTCCTGTCAGGGATATATTTGTAAAGGTAATTGTGTTTTGGACAATGTTTTTCACACTGAACAAGAACGGGTTGTAAAAAATTTAAAACGGAAAAAAAAATCATGTTTCATTTATTTATTTGAAAACTGCAATTAATTTTCTTGCGTTTCAATTACTTTGTTTAATTTTCATATTGGGGTCAATGTGCATTATTTTGGCGAATCTCCCTACACAAACAATGACATTTGACAATAACAGATTGAACAGATGGTTACAATAATAAAAATATCACAAAAATATATTAATAAAGATAAGAAACAAAATAGTAAAATGACATTTGGGGAGATATCGAACAGTATTCAAGCTCAAAAAACAATTGAACATTACAAAAAAGGAGCATAGGAAACAAAGACATCTAAACATCAGCGATGGGATCAAGTGCCATGGAGGAGTGAGCATCCCCTGCCCACTGGTTACACCAGCCGTATGCTCCTTGTTGTGATCGGGAATTAACGGGAAAAACCGTGGATAATTCTATGAAAGCCCAGAAGGCTCATTCGAGATTCAAGTTTCGAAATACGAGATTCAAAATTCGAGATTCGAAATTCAAGATCCAAACTAACCAATCAAAAGTGGGTTCAACATTTGATTACTCCCCTTTGTTTTATTTTTACTATCAAGAATAAATTTATAAAAATGGGTAATTTGCTAAAATGATGATGCAAGAAAAAATGTTTTATGTATTAAAAGGAAATAAAAATAAAATTTTGATTACGTTTTGAAAAATACACATATAATCTTATTTTTCTCATTAAACAAAATAGTAAATACGTATATATGGAATATTTAATATGGTCTTATCGTTGACTTGCGGAATAAGTAGGTCGACATTTTTTTATCAGATCATTGCTGAGGGAGAATATTGTATTTGATTATAACTAGATATGAAATATTATGAATCATCTCTACACTGCACAGTAATTCAAGGGTATGTATTTCATTACATTTATGAAGGTTACATTTGTGCAGTGAGACTTGATTGCTGAATCGAACTGTAGCGTTATGATTTCACGAGTATATTTTAGTCTTGGGCCATATTGCTATATAGTTAGAAACTAAAATATAAAACCATAACGCTATAGTTCTGCATCTAATTTAGACTCATCTACTATTTTATATAAGATAAAATAAATGCTGCTTCTATTTTAATTCATATTGTCAATCTGTATTGTATATATAATTTTTAACTAATGCCTAGGTCACATTTCCCGGCCGGTAGCTGTAGACCGGTGGTAATCGGTGGTAATCCGTGGTTTTAACGATGCCCCAACATCGGTACACATCAGCCTAGTAGTCCTTAAAGTATCAGTCACATTATCAGCACTGGTTATACGATGGGCAACCAATGCCTTTTATGATAAAAATGGCGTTATTAGCCGGCCGGACTTACAAAGACCCAGCGATGCATTGCTAATCATAAAACGAAGTTCCGAGATAATCGGCCGATGTATATTACATCGCTCATACATTGGTGAACATCGTTCGTACATCGGTCGACTACGGGCCAATGTTTGGTCGAACATCGACCGACGATCGGCCGTTATCTGTAAAAACACTATTCAACCCCCCGATGACCTCAGATTCAACGGATATTGGGCGATGCTCGCCCATACATCGGCCGATCCTTTAAAGATGTGTTAATGATAGGTTGCCGATGAGGAGCGATGTGAGGCATCGTTGGAGACATCGCTGAATTTTAACTACGAATTATTTCCTACCGATGACCCCACCGATTCGCAAAATGGCCTCAGTCACCGTCCGATCATTAGTGGTGCCTGGCCGGCAACCACGCCATTTTCATAAAAAAACGCATCGGTTTCTCATCGTATACCCCATCGCTGGATAATGTGACTGATACTTAATTAAAGATATCAAAGTCTTGGATGAAGATAAGTAATTAAATACTTAATTTTTATGTATTTCCTCTGTCAGGAAAACGAACGCGATTTTTGTTTATCAATACTACGTCACCTTTCAAGTTTTACAAAGTAAAATGTTCAGTGTGTTTGGAAAAATGGGCAGGTGAGTAGGGGTGGGGTTATTGTTAATATTTGGAAACTTGACACTTATTTGTAACTTTATTTATATGTCATCAACCCCGTAAACAAAGTACAAAATACAAAAATATATACTCCTGATATATGCATTCTATTTAATATTTAGGAAGTCATAATATAAAGTGAAGTATATCTTGCTGATCAAAAATCCAATAATTATTTTGATTTCCTTCTAATATATACAACACTCTTTCTTGCATTGTGATTTAATCAAATGACTCATTTGTTATAAATATATTGAACGATTTCTTGATAGTAAAATCATAATAAAGAGAAGTAATCAAATGTTGAACAAGCTTTTGATTGGTTAATCTGAATCTTGAATCTCGAAACTCGATTTTCGAATCTCGTATTTCGAGCCTCGAATTTTGAATAAGCCTTCTGGGCTTTCGTATACTTCAATATGTTAATAATGACCCAACAATAAGTATAAAAATGTCAGTCAGCATTTAGGTTCATGGGAGATTGTATTTGTTGAAAAGGTCACTGTATCGACCATAGAACTAAATCAGAACTTACTAAATGATGACTGTTGATATTCTTGTTTCATCTACTACTTTGACAATAAACCTCGTCTTGGAAGTTGTACAAACGTAGAGCACGCTCTTGCGTATCGAATCAACTGTGATATGTAAACTCCGTATGCACTTGATAAGGAGATATTGATGCATACTTGTATTATTAAAGTATAAGTCACATTATCCAGCGATGGGATATACGATGAGAAACCGATGCGGTTTTTGATGAAAATGACGTGGTTGCCGGCCGGGCACCACTAGTGATCGGACGGTGTCTGAGGCAATTTTGCGAATCGTTGGTGTCATCGGTAGGACATAATTCGTAGTTAAAATTGAGCGATGTCTCTAACGATGCCTCATATCGCTTCTCATCGCTATCCCATCATTAACACATCTTTCACGGATCGGCTGATGTATGGCCGAGTATCGTCCAGTATCCGATGAATCTGAGGTCATCGGGGGGTTGAGTGGTGGGCAACAGAGAACGGCCGATCACCGGTCGATGTTCAATCAAACATTGGACCGTAGTCGACCAATGTTCGCACGATGTTCACCAACGTATGAGCGAAGTAATATACATCGTCCGATTATCCTGGAACATCGTTTTATGATTAGCAATGCATCGCTGGGCCTTTGTAAGTCCGGCCGGCAACCACGCCATTTTTATCATAAAACGCATTGGTTGCCCATCGTATACCCATCGCTGGATAATGTGACTGATTCTTTATGGACTACTAGGCCGATGTGGACCGATGTTGGGGCATCGTTAACACCACAGATTACCACCGATTACCACCGGTCTACGGCTACCGGCCGGGAAATGTGACCTAGGCATAAGTAAGCTGACGATCAAAAAGTTAGAGTCATCAAGTTTTTCCCTAAATTTTGTTCTAAGATTACCATCATCGTCTTTTTAAGGTAAAATATCAAAATATGTAACAGACATGTCAGACTCTGTGGTATCTTTTATTCAAGCTCAAGGGATATATGGTGTGAACATAAAAATGGTAATAACTGTTGGTAATTGATAAAACGGTGTCGATATATCTAAATGTCGAGTTGAAAAGATTTTGAACAAAATCTGCTTCATGTGAATACAAACATAGGTCTGCTAGTATCATGGCGCAATTTGTACACTTGGGAATTCCAAAATATTGTTGGAAGACCTGGTCTCCAAAAACAGAATAGATAATGTCAATCAGAAACTTGAGCATCTTTTTTTTATCAACTTCAGAGTACCTGTGTGTACAATCAGATTGTTTTAACAAAGAAATTTTGTATATGACCAATGATAAGGAAGGTAAAATTAAGCGGTCCATTTTCATTGAAAAAGCAGCTGTCAATGTAAGAAAGCCAAGACCTTAACTAATCGTTGGAAATATTTCTATATAAAGTTGAACAGTTGTTAGTGTTTATGTTGTTGATTTTGCTAACAAGAGTAATGTATAATTGTAAGGCCATTATTTACACACCGTTGTCCACGGATTTTTTTTCCATTATTTCACGATCATGACAAGGGGCAAATGACGGGTGTGACTGGTCGGCAGGGGAAGCTCACTCCTCATTGGCACCTGATCCCACCTCTAATAATTTGTAGGTCCGTGTTTGCTCCGCTCCTATTATGTAATGTTTATGGGGCTTTTGAACTCGAATACTGTTCGTTATATGTATCTTCACAAACATCTTTGTATTTCATCTACGAGAGTGGAACAATTATTAATAGAAAGACAATTATTAATAGAAGGACAATTATTGATAGAAGACAGTGTAAAGGTAATGTAAAATAGTTTTCTTGATTTTCAGTAGGATACATAATTTAAGTATGCTATATACTATATACTATATACTAGGTGGATTCCACGGAGAACCAGGAAACAATATTTACAATGAAACTCAGACTGAGTTCATAACATCATATTTTAGAAGCGGTGAATCAGATTTGGATTCTTAGAAATATCTAATTATTTTACAAAAATTAAAATCAGTCTTCTTTTTTTTTTTACAGTAAGCACATTTTCCTATGCTTTAAAAAAAATAATCTTTAAAGTAAGTAATAAGAACTAGGCCTGTATGATATCATAGAAACCTGCCTTTTCCATAAAAGGGAACTTTGAGACTTTCATAATTTCTGATTAAGCACTATAGATTCAATATGCTTAATGTTTTAATTTCTTTACACAAGTACCCACAAGTTAATGCTTCATTTCCTTATTGGCAACATTAATGTAGTCTTTGAAGACCAAGTCGTCAAATAGTTGTTGGATTTCCTCGGGCACTACAAGTAATTGTTCCTTTCTTAAGCAGATCTGATTTTATATTCACAAGACGCAGGTTTTTTTTTTCAAAACTACTTTTACTTTAGAAGGAAGGATGTTTTAGCATTCAACCCCACATTCAGATATATCGAAAATGTGTTATTCATCAACAACAGTTAGTTCCATACTTAAAATAAAAGATACCCCACAATCTTCCATATATTTCTTGTATTTCAACACCACCCTGCATGTAATCTTCATGTTTCCCAATTTACTCAACACTCAATAGCTTGTTCTGAGATCGACTTTTTCCATTTACATTATTTGAAGGCATTTATTTTCATTTAGGATGGATCGTTTTCTATATAAATATATATATAAACGTATGTCCTTACTCTATTCCTTTATAGATGGGTCACATGGATAAGTTAGAATTCCAAATGTTGCCTATTACTTTTATTTCTTGTTGTTTGGTAATACATATATTTAAAACACTTTCGCTGAGTTGTTTTATACCTTATTCGCTTGTAACAATATTAAACGAAGATAGGTAGAAAAATAACATTGTTCTTTCTATCAATTTGATGGCTTTATGAAGCTCAGAACTGATAATCACCAAGTCTAATTGTGCTTTTCAAAGTTCCAATGCGATGTCATGGAAAGAGAAAAGGGTACTTTAAAAAATATTTCTCTTGCTTTACTCTTGATTTCAATATTGTAGCGTTGACGTCATTTTGGTCAGCATATTTTTCAAAAACAGATTTCTAGTTTCATGTTACATTAAGACGAATGATAATGGATATAAAAATGCAATTGCATAATATTTTATGGGCAAATATTTATTAACGAAAATCAACCACAAATCCAGATAACAATCAAAGTCCTCTTCTTGTTTAGTAAACCTGTAAAACAAAATTTAAGTTCAAATATTATATGACATCTTGGGAAAACATAAAACCATTTTAAGATATTTCATAACAAGTTTATGAAAGAATGGCTCACCTTTTTGGGATATCCAGATCCAAGGTTGATTCCATCATAAAAACTTCCCAGTCCAGAGAAGGCACCAGCTGAGGCAGAAGCGGCAGAGGAACCACCTCCGAGTCCATAATAAGGGAAACTGGCTTGGTAATAAGATGGATGGCTGACCTGGTAGAGCGAAGGGAAGCTGTGGCGGTATTGGAATGAAGGGAAGTATCTTACATTGTAGAAAGATTGCCTGAATGGGAATGTGCTCAGGAAGAATGGAAATCCAAGTCCAGAGGAGGCAGCAGCACTGGCAGCGGCGGCATTTCGTCCAGCAGCAGCAGCAGCGGCAGCGGCGCTTGCGGCGGCTGATCCACCTCCAATTCCGAAGAATCCTGAATTAAGGCCTCCATAGATAAGAGGGCCATTTCCACCCACGACTGATAATCCTCCAAAACCTCCTCCCACTCCAAGACCACCTCCCACTCCACTTCCCACGGAGACTCCACTGATCCCTCCACCAACTCCCCCTCCTACAGAGATCCCAGAACTACCGCCGAAATCCCAATTTCCACCGCCCCACTTTGGATAGTAGTCACCATCACTAGAGGTGGAATACTCATAATCACTGTCTGCAACAGTGCAGAGAACCAGGCATGCTAGGGCGGCGAATTTCAGCATCTGTAGTGAACAAATTTTCAATCAAGTAGAGATAAAAGCGATGCGTTTGATTACAGGATAAAATATAGAATTATCAGCGTTTTTTTTTTAAATTTGGGGTTATTTTATCCAAGGAATTTATTTAAGTGGTAATAAATAATAAAATTTTGTACAATATATGAGTGATACGCAAATAATATTTAGATTGACCACAATTTACAGACTAAAACTGATAGATATCTAGTAGTTTATGACATACCTTGAAATCTAGTGCTTCTCTAACAGCTACTGAATACAGTGTTAGACTGTGATCTAAAGAGTTATCTCTTTATATAGCCTGAAAATCAGCTACGTACACGTGGAGTCATGCTGTGATATTTTTTGAAAATAAATTTTAAGATTTTTGAATAAATTCATAATAAAGACGAGGAAATATGAAATTGATTGACACCTCAATTGACAATCCACCTGTTTTCTTTTTAGTGAATTTAGTCATATACTTTGGTCTTTACCTTCTCCGTGGCTTTGCCTTAGTCAAATTAAAATGCACCAATTGTGTGTGATTTCTTCAATTCTCTTGAAACAGAGACGAATTGTATCGTAATTATTAACTTTGTACATTATGTTCTTTCTTTACAAATCCATTTTTCTCATTAAATTTGTTTCGTGTTTTTAGGGGACTATTTTTTATAGTAAAATTTGACGTCTTCGGCGGGGCCATTGAGCATTGAGGGATATTCTTCCTGCCAACACAAACTGCGACGCGGGACCTCGGTTAATACGGTCTCATCAGAAGGACTGGTCTCCACGTCCCACACTGGGATTCGAACCCGCCACGTAAGGATCGACTCCATACTTTGCAACTCTAGAGGAGACGCTCTAACCACTGCGCCACGCAGGCGACGGCAGCTGAAGGAGAGAATTGCTGTGAAGTTAGCAGTCAGTGAAAACAGAAGACGAAAGACGAACGTAAGAGTAAGGCTGGGGTAGGAATAGAATAAGTGTACCAGCGGTAGGGTGTTAGGGGAATTAATCTGAGAGTCAGGGGGTAGTAGATCGTATTAGATCAAGGCGCCTGATTCTCTATATTAATTGGAACCCTTACATGTATAACTACCTGCAGAACTGTAGCGTTATGGTTTTATATATTAGTCTTTGACCATAACGCTACAGATCCCGTAATGCAAAAAAGGTGCAATTTACGGCGCAGAATTTCTTCACTTTCCAGCATGGTCATTCAACTACATTTCACTCCCTAATTCTAGACCCATTCTGTAACCAATTTGTATATTTTATTCACTCGGCAGCCCTTTATATTCGTCACTGCAGACGATAAACTGGCTTGTGGTGAATTTTCACCAATCCAACAAATGATTCTAATTAAGTGAGTTTATCGCATGTATATAGAGACGACTATAAAGGGTAGGTAGATGGATAAAATATACAGATTGGTAACAAAATGTGTCTAGAATTAGGGAGTGATTGACCAATGCTGGAAAGTTGAGAAATTCTCCCAAAGAGAGCGCAAAAACTCTTGCTCTGTAAATTGCATCTTTTTGGCATTACGAGATCTGTAGCGTTATGGTCAAAGACAAATATATAAAACCATAACGCTACAGTTCTGCAGGTACCTTATAACGAGAATACGCGGTGATAGGTTATCCAGTCGCGTTTATTAGGAAAATTATTGCCCAATTAGTTGACTCAGACAGAGTACAAGGAAAATCATATATACCTTATAAAGAACCCTATTGTTCAGATAAACACGCTACAATTTCTAAGAATCGTTATTTTCACCATGGCTGGGTTTGGCAAGAAATTTCCCTCTCAACAAAGTTCATCTCGTGGCGCAGGTCAATACCACAATTTGTGATTGGGACACTGAAAGAAAAACCTAATGAACTAGTGTGCCTCGTAAAGTTTTTGTCGTAATTAGTAAACTTTCAGTTTACTGGTAAAGACAGTGAGTTGTGGAGCGAGGGTCGTATAGATACTTAGTGAAAGTTACTTATCAATTCTAGATTTACTAATCTTATCTAGTAAATATATCCAATACCTGGTAAAACTACTTGAAAGGTAGTGATTGTATGGACGGTAAATTTTCTAGTCTTCTTAGTGACTAATTTTTTTTACAGTGTACTCTGGGACGCGGAGAGCGGGAAGTTTTTGGTTCTATTATATGGGTGTTGTCCATACCTCGCCGCCAGAATGTACTCTTATCGCTAGCACCAGAAACACTTAATGCAGTGAGCCATTCATCCTTGCTTTCAGGAAAATCATTTTATTTATAAGCTTTAAAGTAACTAAAGGTAATCTTAATAAGATTAGTGAAAATAACATTTTTTTCCATGAATTTGTGTACAGGAATATACATGTTGTATGTATTTTCAAACATATTTCATTAATATTTGCTTGCAGTGCATCCCCTATGATTTTCCCCGTGCATTACTGTATTACGATTTAGCTACAGTTGTATATGTAAATCTTGTTCTAGGAAATTTAGTTTGGGATATACAAGATTTATCCTTTCATCGATTTGAAAGCTTGAATCTCCTTTTTAAACATCTCTAAGGTTTTGTTCGAAAAAATTTTATTGCACAATATTTGGATATACAAAAAATTTATTTGTATTCTTTTTACAAGTTATTTTTTTTTTTTGGTTTGTTAAAAATAGCATTAAAGTGACAATACGGCACATCTCTTCAAAAACAGACTTGTTAAAATTTTCCTATAGGATTTGGAATTTTTTTCATACTCATAAATGTATACACTTTCAGAAAATTACAAATTTCATAAGTAAATAATTCTAATCATTTCATTAAAATTATTAATTATTTATGGTACATAAATATATACATCGCAATGTGTTCGAGGTTCCACATTCTCTGATATACTCGCATGCGTTTTCATAAACAAAAGAGCATGGAAAGAGAGAGAAGCCCGGTAGGCCTGCTACTTTGACAAAGTCGACCAAAACGAAAAACAAAACCAAAAAATAGGGCTTGAAATTAGAAAGCAATTTTCCTGACAAAAAATTATTTGGGAGATTAATATAATCATTGGATAAAGAAGAAACGGAAATTCGGCGACATTCCAGTGAGGCTCGCGAAGGTTCTACCCTACATGTTTGTTGATACATGCTATCATTTCTCGTATCTCCATGGCTTTCAAAGAAAAAAAAAAAAAAACATAAAAAGTGACATATAAAAATTAGATTTGAAGTGCAAACTGTAGATATTTTGTTTGACATTTTGCCGCGATGACGTATGATTTGGTGAATTTTCCTTTCCTGCACCCCACTACACAAAACGTCAACATTTGTACTTAATCATGTTAAATTCGTCTAAATGCAGACTAAAATGTTAACTATTATTAATTTACCAGAGAGTTAAGATATTTTGATTCTGAGAATTGCTTTTACCTATTATTCCATTATTATTGTAAACTCTACATTGTATGCACGTGCCATTTTAGAATTCACGTGGTACAAGTAAACAGATCTAAGTTGTACGACCCTTGATTTTCCGGCAGATTCTAATTACGTTAATTATGTATGAGGAGAGAATATTTATTTTTCTCAAAATGCTTACTTAAACTTTTTACCTTATTCCTGAATGATATATTGGGTAAATTTGAATGAAAAAGCACACGATTTGCAGCCGTATTGCCGCTTAAAAAGATTTCTCTTTGTGATATTTTTTAAACTTACAAATTCTAAAAGCAGAAAAAGAAGAAACACCGATTAAAGTCTATATGCATGCATATAGCTGAAAACTAATAAAAAAGACCACTTTGCATTGCAGATTGTTTATTCAATAGAAGACATTCCTGTAAAAGTCGTCGTTGTCCGTTTGGCTGGCCTTTTCCGTTTGTGTTTAATATACCTGTAAGTAAAAAGAACCTCACCTAATGCACGTAAAATTCAAAGATTTATTATTTAGATTCTCAAAAAAAAATTATAGATCGACAAACCTTCTTTCCTCTGCCTCGAACACCTCCGAAGATTGGTCCGCTGACTCCACCAAGTGGAAGACTTCCTCCGAATGGCAGACTCACTCCATCAAATCTGCCGTATGATCCTCTCACTCCACCATATGGAACAACTCCACCTAATGGTCCACTTAATCCTCCTAATTGAACAACTGAAGGGACGGATCCAACTGCTCCGCCCAGTGGGACACCAGATGAATAGGGACCAAATACACCACGGTTTCCTACAGCTGAAGCGGAAGCGGAAGCAGCCGCACTACCGTCATCAGAGGATGCCGCCGCTGTAGCTGCAGCAGCGCCACCTGGCAACCCATAGCTTAACGGCTGATAGCCGAAAGGTTGGAAGCCTGGCTGATAATAACTGCCGGGACCAGAGTAAGAGTATTCATTGTAGTATGTGTACGGGTTGAACGCAGACCCTCTTGACACAGCAGCAGAGGAAGCAGCGGCAGCTCCTCCTCGTACAGAACTGGCGCTAGCAGAAGCGGCTGCACCGCGATTTCCACCGAAGAAAGATCTTCTAGAGCCTAGGAAATTTCCAGATCCGAACAGAGAAGCTCCAGGTAATCCGCCGAAAACATTGCCTAACTGTCCGCTACCATAATAATTAACTCCAGGTCCCCCATAATAATACTGAGGCACTCCAAAGTTTTGTCCATAGGTGGTATAGTAAGGCCTGGCAGGGTATTTCTTATCGTAATCGGCCTGAACGCCAAGAGCGATACAAGCAAGGACGATATATGGCAGCATTGTCTAAAAGATAAAGATTAAAATGCAAAACATGGAGAAAAGAGAACAGCTTATATAATGGTTGTTGTCAATGTAACTTTTCATTAAGGGTTAAAATCAATGAAATAGTGTTCTTACCTGGTCGGGAGTTTCTCACTAGGCCGTTAGCAGCGTAGTGAAGATTCAGAGCCCAGCCTCTCTATTTATGCTGCTTTTCCTGTCTGCGTCACAAAGAAGGTCGACTCCTGCGGTTAATTTCATATTTATCTTTAAGTGATCTACATTCCGCCTCATGCTTTTTTGAATTGCATGTATTGAATATTAATAAGTAGACAAAAAATATTTTCATTGCATTTTGGTATATCAGGAGGAGATTGATGATTTGCGAGCAATTAAGTTTAATTATTAATTGCAAATTAATTTATGAATAAAAATATATGATGCGTTGCATTAAGATTTATGTAACTTCTCAAAATACTGTAGTACGTATATGCATTGACTCCTCTAAGTTGTTGAACTTTAGTATATAGATTTTTCATTGGAACGAAATTTTATAATGATCACAAGAAATGATCATATATTTGGGAACAAAACCGGTAACATGTAACAAGTTAGGCTTTCATCAGATGGATAATAAAGCCCCCCCCCCCCCCTCAACATTCTCACAAAGATCAGCTTAGATGGAATTGAATGTCTTAACATTGCAATAAAGGCTGCTTAAATTTGAAGATTTTTAACATTACCTTTTTGGACATTATTAATTTTCTATTTAAGGAGGTTAAGCTAAAGGTCACAAGGTTAAAACAAATTATTATGAAAGTTGAATTAACATAACAGATATTTTTGTCCGTTTTTAGTCCCTGGCTGGTGAAACTCGGGGGGGGGATTGCTTTCCTCCTTCTTTGTCTTTCTTTCCGTCCGACTGCCTCGAGTTTCGAGATTCAAGATCCAGATTAACCAATCAAAAGCGGGTTCAACATTTGATTACTCCCCTTTATTATGATTTTACTATCAAGAAATCGTTTAATATATTTATAATAAATGAGTCATTTGATTAAATTATAATGCAAGAAAGAGTATTATTATATATTAGAAGGAAATTTAAATAATCATTGGATTTTTGATCAGCAAGATATACTTCAATTTATATTATGGCTTCTTAAATATTAAATAGAATACATATATCAGGAGTATATATATTTTTGTATTGTCTACTTTGTTTCAGGGGTTGATAACATATAAAATTACTTATCTTCACCTAAGGCTTTGATTTCTTGAATTGATTAAACATTATATATACAATACAGATTGGCAATATGAATTATAATAAATGCGGCATTTATTTTATCTATATTATATCAAAATAGTAGATAAAATAAAGCAATGATTTTCTAAATTAGATTGCAGTTTTTATTATAATCATTTAATATAGCGAATATTATGGTTTTAAATTTTAGTCTCTGGCCATACCGTTATGATCAAAGACTAAAATATATTGTGATAAACCTTAGCCATTTGATATAACGCTACAGTTCAAATTTAGCCATTAAATATCAGCAGCTATTTGTTGCAAAGCTATCATCTCAATGTTTAAATACTGCTCAAATGTACCCGGCTTATATAAATGTAATGAAATATATACCCTTGAATTACTAAGCATAAAAAATGTTAATTTGTAGAGACAAATTTGGTAAATTATTATTTTTCATAAAATAGTATTTCATATCTAATTATAAATTAACAAAAGGAATGATCCTTTGGAAATTTTCAAAATATCGCGTTTTTGTCACTATTGTAAAACTGTTATAGAAAGTGAAATACATTTCATATATGACCTTATATATTTATACGGTATAAACTGGGTTGTAATCCTGATAATGCAGTTAATTCTAGAAGGCTGTGTGAATTTTTATATGAACGTTTTGAATTGCGTTCCAAAAATAAAGCACAATTATAATATATTTATTTAATGCATTTATTAGCTCATCACCGCTAAGCGGATTATTATAAAAAGTTGTTAAGCGTAAACTGTTCCAACACAGTCTTTTATATGTAACATGGTTGTATGCCAACATGTTTGGTGAATCAATAAAGAAATTGAATTGAAATAGTAGATTCATTGCTATAGCGTTATGGTATAATTTAATTTTCTTTCATTTGATGTAAGAAAAAAAGATTATTGTTCTAACAAAATGACTTCAGTTCGTACAAAATTTGAATGTAACGTCAGGCGGATTGATACGTTTTTGACGCAAGTCATTGTGACGTAGGCAACCCATTTTATACGATATGAAGTAAATTTTTTATCCAATCAAATGTAGCAAGGGGGTGTGTTACAACCAGAATACAAAATGTTTTGCGTTCCTTTTTCGAAATCAACCAATGAGAGGCGAGAATACAAACAAAATTAAATTATTCAAATATAATATTATCCCTCAGCAATGATCTTGTTAAAAAAAATAGTCGACCGACTTGTTCCGCAACTCAACGATAAGACCATATAATATTCCATATATACGTATTAACTATTTACTATTTTATTTAATGAGAAAAAAATATATATATGTATTTTTCAAAATGTAATCCAAATTTTATTTTTATTTCGTTTTAATACATAAACCATTTTTTCTTGCATTATGATTTTAGCAAATGACCCAATTGTTATAAATATATTCAACGATTTCTTGATAGTAAAAACATAACAAAGGGGAGTAATCAAATGTTGAACCCGCTTTTGATTGGTTAGTTTGGATCTTGAATTTCGAAACTCGAATTTCGAATCTCGTATTTTGAAACTTGAATCTCGAATGAGCCTTCTGAGCTTTCGTAGATATGTGAGTCTATCTTAACCGGTATGCGAAGGGTGATCAAAAGTTCGCAAACTAATTTAAAAACAAATAAAACAATTAAAATTAAATTCAAGTGGTCATAATTTTTATATTATGGTCCTCTCCGATTTTTATGCACACCCGCCACCATTCTGTCATGCGCGAATCACGTACGTGTGCTCCAGGCAGTCACGTGACATGTCCCATAGCGTTCTGTTCATAGAGGCTACAATATTTTTTGGGAGTCTTATACTTCTTACCATGCAAGTTGATTTTTATAACAAATCCATTAATATTTATAAGAGCCTATTTGTTTGAAATGACCTAACCAAGGAAACAGGAGGGGTGGATAAGGATTTCCTCTTCAAGACAGAACATGGTAACCATCATAACCCGAGTCCTCTGTCTTAGGAACACCGTTCATCCAATATGGATATATAAAGGGTGCTGTCTTTAAATCATATCTGATATATTTAAAGTCTTAAAGCCGCTTCATCCGAAACAGGCACATAATATCTTACACAATAAAAGTAAGTCAATACATAGATAATATATAAAAATAAATTATAAGATTGATTTAATAGTTTATTACAACAATCCTTACATGGAAAACATATATCAAAAAAATTATTGACAAACAGAATTTCTTGACGGGAAGTTAAGATCTGTTGTGAAGTCACCTTTGAAAAAATAAATTTATCGGCTTTATCTAATTATGATGATAATTCAAACCCGAGTATGTTTTCCTATAGTAGAAAGCCTAAGTCCTAATAGGTCTTTTAAAAATTAAGAAATTAATTAAGGAATGACTCTAATCCTTGGCCAAATTATTCGTTCCTTAAAATTTAATTTTAAAATAATTAAACAACTGTGGATGTAAAATTGTACTGCTTTTTAAGAGTTCAAATTTGCTCAATAATACATCTCTAGTAACGGAAGTGATGTGAAACAAGTTGAGGTAATAACTGATACACAGATCTAGCAGCCATGATGTTTGTTTACATGAGGTAAGATCGAGCTACTGTTTGAAGTTAAAGGTACATTTATTAAATCTGGAATTTTCCATGAATCCCGAGGACTGGAAATGAGGGGATTGCATGGATACAGATGATTCAGCTGGTTGTCAAGGGGGTGTGTCCCCATACCAAACCAGGTTATTGAGAAATAATTTGCGTTCCTTTTTGGAAATCAACCAATGAGAGACTAGAATACAAACAAAATTAAATTATTTGAATATAATCCAGGGTAATTTTTATATCAATATGCATATTTAAAGAATAAAGGAAAATCAGATATTTTTAAAGATTTTTTTTAAAGGAAGTTTAGTAACAAAGGCTAAAATATTGTCCGTATACAGTTATAAGAACTTTTTTGTGAAAAATGCTCGGGTTTGTTCTTCATGAGATATAAGCGATAAATTTAATTTTTCACGCAATTTCACACGATATCAACATAGGATTATTTTTTGTGTTACCTAACAAAAATTATGCTTTTAACTTTTGAATTTTGATATCATCTTTTAAAAGAAAAAGACTTTGGGGATATAATTTGAAAAAAGTGAAACAATTTATGGACAGTTATTTTTCAAGAAGAAAAACGAATACATATGTATATTTTTTCGCGATTAGAATCGGACTAAGCGGCTTTAAGTAGATAATAATTTAGAAATTTAATAATTATGACTTGTCAATCTTTCATTACAAATTGCTTAACTAAAGAAGCATCTTCAGCTTTCTTTCACTGGCCAAAATAACAAACGTCATGTTTAATCATCTACTCTCCGTCACTAAAACAAACTATTCAATTAATGATTGAACTTCAAGAAAGGTTTTTGTCTTTATAAACATTATACAAATTATTATAATTATTATCTGCTACTGCAAAAGAATTTCCAAGTTAAACGTTAAACTTTACAGCTGTTGGTTGCTCAATTTAAATAAGACTGTGTCAACCATTTTTGTCAAAAGTCACCTACATACGTCATTTTCACACTGTGACGTCACAAACATGAACAAAAATTTACTTATTGTATGCTATTTATAGAAAATGTTTATGACTATACGAGTATGTGTGCCAAATTGATTCTGATCTGAATTGTGTGGTTTTGTAAATATATAATAGTTCGTGCACTTTGTGATCCCCTCTCATAGATAAGGGTCGTATTTAAGTATTTTGTTCTGCTAAAGTGATTATTGACAGAATGTTAGATTTTCATTTTTAAGTGGAACTAGATCGCTTGCCAATAGGGTACTACTTAGTATCTTTGTTGCGTCAACACTCTCAAAATACTTGTTAAATTTTTAATAAATTCAAACCAAAAGTCCAAAGCAATTAGCTTCAAGAATCTCTTATGACAAAAGAG